TTCTAGGAATTATCCCCAAGGGCTCTAGCCCCCAATCCATGCATCCTGTGAATGTGCAAAACCTCACTTCCTCACTTCCCTGCTCGTCATGCCTATGCACAGTGGGCCTTCAAAAGGGGAGATTATCCGGGCGGGCCTGATCTATGCGAGTCTTGAAAATGAGAGAACCCTCTCTACCCGGTGGCGGAAGAGTACTCAGAAGGGGACATGGGGGAGAGAGCCTGGGCGTAAGGATTGAATGATAGAGGGAGCCACGTGATGAAGAATGTATGTGGCATCTAGAAGGTTAGAGTGGCTCCAGCGGACAGCCGGCCCAAAAATGGGGACCTAAGCCACAAGGATTTGGGTTCTGTCAACAACCCGAAGGTATCATGGAAGCAGATAAGGGCCTAAATGGTTGACAACTTGATTTTGGCCTTGTGAGATAACAGCAAAGAACCCAGCTGAGCCTGCGTAGACTCTAAGCTACTGACCTGTGAGATAAAAACATGGGTGTTGTGTTCTGCCAGCGTGGCTCAGTGGCTGAGCATCAACCTCTGAACCAGGAGATCACAGTTCATTCCTGATCAGGGCACAGAGCAGGATTGCAGGCTCGATCCTCAGAAGGGAGCATGCGGGTGGCAGCAGATCAGTGATTCTGATTGATGTTTCTCTCTCTCTCCCCCTCTTCTTTCCTCTCTGAAATCAATAATAATAATAATAATAATAATAATAATAATTAATAATAATAAAAGTGGGTGCTGATTGCAGCTGCTAAATTCATAGTACGGAATTTGTTACGCAGCAATAAAAACAAATACTAGTACACCTCAATAGTTTGTTGGATTCCATAGCTTTTGTTGTTGTTGTAGTTCATAATCCATTGAGTTTGCAAGCTGTGTGGCCTCCGGTGAATAACTTGTCCTTCTTGAGCCTATGAAATCTGCCTCACGGAGTTTTCATGATTAAATGGGATATACTTAAATGTTTACTGCAGACCCAGGCTCTCAGCAGGATCTCAATCAAGCTCCCTCTGTGTGTATTTATTTAGACCCCAAGGTCCCCCTAAATATGGAACTTCCTGCATGTACAGTGCTGGGGACATTGGTGCTCAGAACATGTGCACTGAATGGATTATATACATAGACAGTACTCATCAGATCAATTCATCCAATGTGTTGGTAAATGAACATATTAAAAAGATGTATACAAAGTAGTCTTTGTTCTCAAGCTACCCCAAAGTGTGTAGGAGTCAATAATGTAAAAAAAGAATTGCAATACCATAGAAATGCCATACATGCACGTATACAAGTATATCAAACAGCCTCTTTCCATTGGCCCAAAGGGAGTGATTTCTCAAGTGAGGGAGGAAAGCACGTCATGCAGAGGAGGCACCGGACACTCTGAGACGTGAGGGGCTGGAGAGGGTGGAGCACGGGGTGCCTGAGTGAGCATGATGGGAGGGGGAACTCATATTCAACTGAGGACAGACTGCATTTCACAGGAGGTTTGGGCTGCTCCATGTTTCTGGCTCTGAGGAGCTCCGGGAGGCGTTCTGACTATAGAATAATCTGATGAGATTTGTTGACCAGAAAGGACACACTGGCGTGGGCTGGAGGCACTGCATGGAACAGAGTGCAGGGGAAGCGACTAGCAGGTCTAATTAACTCTCAGAACTCCTTTTCTCATAGAAACAATGCAGTCAGCAGTGGTTAGGTTGAAGGCTGGCCTTTCCCATGACCAGCAGGCCGTGCCTGAAGTCCAGTCCGTTGGTAACTTTATTATTTTGTGTTCTAGATATTTCACCAACAATCGGACTTTTGGAACATGGCCTGCTTGTGGAGACTACCTATGGTTAATAGTGTATAATATATAATGATGTTAGCTCATCAGATATAAATGCAGAGTTGTTTTGAGAATCCCATCTGTATTACTGCTGCAAAGGAGCAGATCAGGAGATGTCACCCAGAACACTGGCTTGGTGGCATTTCTATTTAAAATGAATCACAGGCCCTATCTGGTTTGGCTCAATAGATAAAGCATCAGCCTGCGGACTGAAGGGTCCCAGGTTCGATTCCCAATCAGGGCACATATCTGGGTTGTGGACTAGATCCCCAGTCGGGGGCATGCAGGAGGCAGCCAATCAATGATTCTCTCTCATCATTGGTGTTTCTATCTCCCTCTCCCTTCCTCTCTAAAATAAATAAAACATACTTTTTAAAAATAATAAAATGAATCACAGTATTTTAAAATGAGAATAGAACTTTATTTGAGGCATCAAGATCTTTAAAAAAATGACTTATACTTTAAAAGTACTCAATAAATTTTGATACACTAATCTTGATATATATATATATATATAGATTTACCATATCAGATTTTTAAAAACAAGGTCAAATGGCTTAGAATCAGAATGAATTCTGTTCAACTTAATAATTATATGGAATAGCTTTAGTATTATAAATAATGAAAACCCACAGCATTTAATTTTCAGTGATGAAATGCATTTGTAATACAATTTTATGTCTATGTTAAAGTTTCTTTGATTACAGAGAAAATATAGGCTAAAATTATGTGCTTATCATTTCTAGAAAAATATGACCTCCTTGCTTTAAGAAAATGACCCTGCCTCCTCTCCAGCCATCAGATGCATTAGAGATGCTGTTGTGTCTGGGATGAGGGCTGTGCTGCCGGATACAGGTGTCTCCCAGGCTGTCCGCCCTCCGCGGGAAGACAGAGGGATGATGGTCTGCAGCTGGGGGCTGGTGGGGGTGGGTCTGGTCTTATTAACACCCTGCCTTATCTGAGTTACAGGATCATCCAAATGAACATCGGATGAAAAGCGAGCTTCATATTTTCTCAAGCTCTGATAGCGGCTATGATATTTTACAGAAGGGACCTTTAAGCCCTCAGGTGGTAAAATTCTGTTTTAACAAAAATAGTTTTCACATTCAGTTCTACATAATGAGAACATTCCAAAGTTTACTGGCCCATGTTAATTGCTCCACAACAAATCTGATGTGGAGAAAATGGATCCTGATGGTAAGACCCATGCATCGTTAAACACATGGATGCATGTATGTGTGTATGAATTCCGTATCAGAGATGTTCCTACTTCCTTGTCTATTAGCAGTCAGTTTATTTTTAAATAAAGAGAGTCTTCTTTGGGAGTACATCTGATTTGACAAAACAAAGCATCTTCTGATTGTAGAATACTTCACAAAACACCTCTCTGAAACAACGGTCTGACGTGACAGAGGGTGGGCATGAGGGTGCCCATCGGACAGGTGACGAAGCGAGGAGCCATCTGCGAGCTCCTTCCTCGAAGCTGAGCTGCTTGGAAAGTGGTTTTGCTTCCGTCACATGTGCAATCTGTAACAGGCGCCAGCAGGTAGCATCGTATTACACCCACTACCTTACACCCACAGCCAGAAGCGCTTCTTACAACTCTATGTACATGTATGCATTTAAGAGGATTCATAACACTTATATTTACAATTATTCCTAAATCCCCAAGATACCATACTGAGAAACAGGTTAGCTTTTCCCAAGAGCATTTTCTATATAATCATCACAACAGAAACACAGTCTGGGCGCACGATTTGGAGACACGTTCCACAGTCTGGAGACACGTTCCCTTTTGCCTTGTTCTGCTCACCCCTACGTTGATGGTTGAAAAACGCATTTGCACGCTGGCAAGTTCCTTGTGGATGAGGGCTGAGCTAGATTTCTTGGGAGCTGACGACTCTCACCAGGGGCCTCGCACAGTGCTGTGTGCATAGCAGACATTCAACACACGTTTGTCGGATGGAGGTGGTTTTCAGGGACTTGAATTTGATCCAAGTAGGATTCTGCCTGTAACATTTTGCTAAAGAGTTTGGGAGTTATAGTGAAACACCATCACTTTCAAAGTAAACAGTATATTTTTTAAAAAGCATAAGAAATGTGGTAATAAATTCAATACAAATTATGCATTATAGCTACTCTTTGGTTGTTATTTTTTAAACAGATTATTTGGTTTTATGACTAAAGTGACATACTAAAAAATATAAAAAGGCAACTACAAGAATTAGCTTCGTGTGTAAACATAATAAACCCTGTAAACATAGAGTTCCTACATAATTGTGCAAGTGTAAAGAATGTCTAGTAAAGGCAAGTACTATCCGTGTAACTTAGTTCTTCGAGACGCGCTTAGAAACACTGCTTTGTGGAGCTTTGGTTTAATGTGGGAAGAAGGAATTCCTTGAACTAAACTACAACGTGAGGGTGACAACTACTCCGAGGAACCACGAGGACATGAAGGCAAGAGGACAGGACGGCGTTACTGCTTTCCGCCCTCTGCAAATCTGAGTCTGCTTCACATCTGACACACCACTTCGCTGAGCAAAACCACGTATTAACAAAAACCAAATACTTTTAAAACGAAGGAGTTAACCTTTTTTTTTTTTTCCCCCCTGTTATTGCCAGCGAGTCAGTTGACTAAAAATATAGTAACACACTTTCCAAAAGCCTGGGCAGGAAGGTGCATGAGACAGGACTACAGAGTAATAAATAACTGTAGGCAGCACTCAGTATCGTGTAGTTTACTCAGTATTTTAGTCTCCTTTCCCAAAGTTGGGTTTTCCTCCTCAAAAGGCATCAAACGCTTCACACAGGACACACGTCACACATATTTCACAGTTATCATTTCAGTAGTTTAAGGAAGGACTGCCTGGCGCGTACTGGGAGAGAGGTACATGAGAAGGACACATTCGCTATTTCAGACACAGAAGACGTCGGTCCTGGAGTGTGAACTCTAAAGACAGACTGAGACAACGGTAAAAGCAACACATTCTTTTAAAGAGGATGACATCCTGGTAAAGTCATCACACTGTTTCTTCCGATGCATTTATGGGATTTCCCCCAATACCTGGGAAGGACCGATGGCTAAGCGTTAGTAGTTCCCCGGAAAATTTTAAGTCAAGACGTTCCTTATAAAAAAAAAATGTGGCAGTAAAACACCCTAGATGGTTATTTGTAATCTAATCAACTCCATCAAAACCCTGAGTGTTCTCAATTGCCATCTGAAGTTTATCCCATAATTCTTCAAATGACTCATAGGGCGGCAGGTCCAGTCGATTGAAGCTGAAAAACAGAAAGGCGCTGGTTATGGCGGACACAGACAAAGCGAGTGTCAAAGACAGGTCATCCCGGGGGGGAGGGGAGGAGGAAGATACAGGACTGCGCTCTGGGCTTGGACTCCCCTCAGGACTTCTTGGTCAAGTCCTCTGCCCCCACCTCCCATCTGGGTTCCTCTGTGACTTTAGCCTCCAAAAGGCAATGTTCTCCCTTCTTGGCATGACCCATCACTCATGCGATGGAGGCAACACGGGGTAAACCGTTGACGTTGCATCTCCAATGTGCAGCTACCTTGGGTTGGTGTTGCTGCCTCTCTCCTTCCTCCTCCTCTCCCCCTCTCCTGCTTCCTTCCCTCCCCCTCCTCCGCCATAGCACAGAGGGGCCTTCGGTACCAAGAGAACTTGTCCTCTCAGGGTGTAAGAATCTGCTTACCACGTATGGGCTCTTGGCAGCTTTTCCGGGGTACCCCACTGTTCCACCGTGAAAGACTGTGGTCCGTTTGAGCCTGTCAGAAAGAAGAATTGCTTTGTTTTCATTTACTCTTTACAGGAGACCCTAGGCATTTCACAACTCAGGTTTTCTGTTGTAAAACTTAAACACACAGAGAACGCATCTAGTTTTCTTAAATTCAGAAGAAATGAAGGCTGTCCTGTGCTTGTTGGTTTTACTGCCCAGCCATGAAACGAGGATTCCTTTTCCACTGAATCACTCTGCCCCTGGGGGGAGATGTCTCAAGGTACCTTTGCTGATTCCTAGTCTTGCATTCCTTTTTTTCTCCTTCTTAAAAAAGATTTTTAAATTGATTTTGAGAGAGAGAGGAAGGGAGGAGGAGAAACACTGATGTGAGAGTAGAACATCAGGCTGCCCCCTGCACACCCCCTACCAGGGATGGAGCCTACAGCCAGACAGGTGCCCTGACCAGGAATCAAAGTGGCAACCTTTCAGTGCACAGGACACCAAATGAGCCGCACCGGCCAGGGCTCCCTGCCTTTCTGTGGACCGCCTCCTTCACAAGCATTTTCTTTCTTTCTTTCTTTTTTTTTTTTTTTTTAAGGTGTCCCACTTGAAACAGCTTTAATTTTTCTGATTATAAAATTTACTGCAAAAATTAATCAAGAAAAATATAATGATGTTAAAATTACCTCAGATTCCACTATTAAATCTGAGTAAGTATCCCATCATGAATCTTTTGTGCATGTGCGTATAAATGTGATTACGTTATGCTTGCAACACTTTCCTTCTATTGTGGATATTTCTATAAACTTTTTTTTCCTTTGGTGTTTTCACTTATCTCTTCCTCCTCTAATTCTCAACATTCCCCAACCTCCCAGGTCATCAATGCTGACAAGCCACCATGTAACCTTCCTTACTTTTCTCCATCCTGTCTTTAAAAAGCATTGCTTTTCACACATCACAATTACATTCACAGTTACTAACCCTTCAGCACTTTTGTCATTATTTGTTTTCCAGAATATGAAGTCTTATCTATTTCCCAGCCTCTTGATTCTCTCACCTGAACAATCCCTTGGGAAGATTCCCTCTAAGCCAATCTATATACACTCAACACAGTTCTCATTGGCTAGATAATATTGCATAGTAATATTAAAATTTTGTAGCAACATCGTCCTTTGTAAATACAAAAGAACTTGAATTTATGTTCTAATACTAACATCTCTGGCTCTGTGTGTGGGATATTTTCCCCAAATTCCAAAGTTTGTGGAATCAGTGGGTGGCTTTAGGCCTGGATGCAGAGAAGAGGGAGTGGAGGTAAAGATGAAAAGGCTGTTTGCCATGATTTTCTCTACCGAACGGCGACCGTATAGCAGAAGAGGCAGAAAAGGGAGTCAGGTGTAAACACCAGCAAGACAAACACCAAGAAATCCAATTAGGCAGGGAATGAGCACACTGACTAGTGGCAAGCTCCCTCTCATTCCTCTCACTGTGGATGGTTATTTTAGATTAAGCATGTCAAACTCAAAGGCCAACATGGGCCAAATAAATGGGGCATGCGGCCCACAGGTCGTGAGTTTGACGTGCTTGTTCTAAAAAGTGGCAGCAGCTTGACAGGTTCTGCCAGCAAATATTAATGAAGCTTAACCAGGAGATCAGGTCTCCCAGGGAGGAGACAGAGGCTAGCAATCCCATCAGGCTGCAGCAGCTTTCTGTGTGCCCGGAAAAGTCAGCCTGGCAACCGCCTCGGCAGCAGTCAGTATCCTCTGACCCTTTCCCTGAACAATTCTACTCTTTGTTGTTCTGAGTGGGGCTCCACTCTTGGCAATACTTTCTCTGAATAATTTGTTCTTCTTGGTGTCTTTATTTAGAGAAAGAGAGCGAGAGAAACATTGACTTGTTGTTCCACCTATCCAGGCACTCATTGGTTGACTCTTGCATGTGCTCTGATCAGGGATGGAACCCACAACCTTTGGGTTCATCAACTGAGCTACCTGGCCAGGCTTGGTATCTTTAAAAGCAAATAAATGTAATTCCAATAAACAATATATTAAGATAGGAGACAAATTGCTGTGCTCTATATCATTAATAGTAAGTTTTTTCCCTTCCTTCCTCTTCCTCTTCTTCCTCCTCCTCCTCCTCTTCCTCTCTTTCTTCTTCTTTTTAACAAGACACACCTCTAGAGCTATGAGGTTAATAGACCAAAAAAATAGTTTGATAGGCTATATGTAATTTCGATTTAGCCCTGGCCAGTTTTGCTCAGTGGATAGACCATTGGCCTGTGGACTAAACGGTCCTGGGTTTGATTCCAGTCAAGGGCATGTACCTTGGTTGCAGGTCTATACTCTGGCCTGGTCAGGGTGCTCGTGGGAGGCAATCCATCAATATGAGAAATCAATGTTTTTCTCTCTTCCTTCCTCCCGCCCCCATTCCACTCTCTCTAAAAATCAATGGAAAAATATCCTCGGGTGAGGATTAAAAAAAAAAAAAAAGCACAGAATTTCACTTTATAGAAAACTTAATAGTTATTCTGAATAGCAAGAGATAGGTGCATTCTTATCCCCAGTCCGCCATTTCCCACAAGGCTGAGAAATAGTAGCCTACTGAGACTCTCCACCCCCCAAAACACCCATTCCCCCAAGGATTCTATGACAAATAACTTTGGAAAATTTGCTTTTTTCTCCCCCCACCCCCCCCGCCCCACAGTAAAGGCTCTCAAGAAGGCCCAAATAAACCAGTTTAACTTTATTTAGCCCAGCATTTTCCCGTACGTATTCTACTATGACACTCTTTGCTGTTTGTCGTACACTTACTGACATTCTGTGGAACTTGACACGCTGCCCTAAACTCACACCACAGGCAACGCTTTTTCCGTAGTGGAAGGATAATTTTAAAATTCAAGGAGGGAAAGTAACTCAAGTCATTTCATATTCCAGTTTCCTCCTTTGCTATCTCAATAGAAGGTGTACATATATTTTGGCCTACTTGAGTGTATCTAATTAAATCATTTAAAAATATTTTTTATTAATTAAGCTAAATGTCTGTATGAACGATAGAGACTTGAAGACTAACCAGCCAGGACAAAGACAACTGGCTTTGCTCTGTTTTTAAGTGCTGTATGGGAAACCCTTACCATAGAGTTCGGCAAATCCATTCATAGGCACTCGAGATGTGCCCGTGACGAATTGAAGTAATCTTATTCTTTTTTCTGAATCCATCATTAAAACAGCCTGAGTAACACAAAAACAGCATTTAGGATTTTCACTGGGGAAAAGGTACCAAAATCATCCAAAGAGTATGCTGTCCGAATTTCATTAGAGCACTTATGACCACTTAGTAAGTCTGCATGTTTCTTTTAGTTAACCTTGTGTTTATGGGTCGTCTACGACGGTCTTGAAAACTTTCCAAGGCTGATAAGAGAGTAAGCCTAATAAAGTGACCAAAATTTCTTCTCAGGGAGTCGTGATTTTTAAATTATACTTATGGATATTATACACATTTCTCCATATGACTGAAAATCACATTTAAAGGAGCCATGTAGGATTCTTAGACCCGTGGTTGGCAAACCGTGGCTCGTGAGCCACATGCGGCTCTTTGTGTGGCTCTCCCACAAAATACCACAGGCTGGGCGAGTCTATTTTGAAGAAGTGGCGTTAGAAGAAGTTTAAGTTTTAAAAAAAATTGGCTCTCAAAAGAAATTTCAATTGTTGCTCTATTGATATTTGGCTCTGTTGACTGATGAGTTTGCTGACCACTGTCTCGGACAATACATGGCAGTTTATCACAGGTTCTCTTGAAGAGTCCCTTCTTCAATAAGAAACCAAGTGCCCATTTTGGCTGTCTCTGCCATTCGCTAGATTCTGAACATTTGACTTACTTACTAGTATCTATAAATATGGATGGAGGTTGGGACTATACCCAGAAGGTAGATGTATATAGTACGAAATCAAAAATATCTTTTGCTGGTCTATATTCTGTCTTATGTATGAGAAAGTGGCTAGTCTAGTTAAATACGATAGAATTTACCAAAAGTAATTCATAAAAACAGAAGCTATTGATTACCTTCCAAAACCACTGAATGACCTGATGATTGACGCTGTAGCCGTTTTTGTACTTGGTGTGTTCTCTCCAGTCATTCACGTCGACATCTCCCAGCCCACACATAAGAAGCTACATAATCAGAAATGTCAAACTGTAGATGAGAAAAATAACGAGCACTAAAGCTCCATTTTAAAGTAAAAATGTTTCTTACCTCTAGCTCATTTTCATCAAAAATTTTGATGAGATCCTGTGGTATTAGTTCAAAAAATCCCTAGAAGAAAGTGGATTTAAAAACCTGATTAGCAGGGTCCATGGGCAATCCTCTACTGCACTCCTGGGAGCTTCTGGAGGAACCCCACACCCACACAGAGCCCGCCATTACACATGCACGCTTGTGTCTATTTCACATTTTAGACTCTGCTTCCTGAGAGCTATGCCTTTTTGCCTGATACAGCACCAGACACATAGTCAGTGTTCCATACTGAATAAATGAAACATTATGTGATACATATTTTACAGAAGATTTTAAGTTAGCTTAAGAAACGAGTGCCTTGACAATAACCCAACTCTCCACTCAACTGAGATTTCAATATTGGCAAGAGGCTATGTGTCCCTCATCTGTTCTCTCAGAGATTCCTCAAAATGGCCATTTCAAAGCTTCCCTGTACACCTCATTCCCCCCCTCCCCCTCCATGTCACCCCGTCTTTACAGGAGACAATTTCTATTTGAGAGAGACATAGAGGCAATGATGCAGGATGGAATTCATTCAACCTTCCGTCTCCCCCTGTACAACCAGCACCACCATCCACCATGGCCTCCTTCCCACTGCAGTGGAGAGAGGTACCATCCTCTCTGCACTCCATCTGCTTCCTCAAGGTCACCGCACTAAACCTCCTTCTCTTTCTCAGCTTACTCTGTATGCATTGAAACGCGCTCCAGCCATAGCTACGTTAAAAACCTTAAAGGAGCAAACACCCCTTTCCTCTCTTCAGTCAAGTTCTTGACAGTGTTCTGTGTTATCAAATCTACTTGCTCACCTCCTATCTATCCCCCAACTCATTGCAATCTGACCTCTATGCCACTGCTTCCTTGAGGCTGTCCCGGGAAAAAATCAAAGCAACTTTGCAGCTACATCACTGAATGCTTTCTAATTCCATGTCTTATTTGACTTCTCTGCAGCCTATTGTTGAAATCATCTTTGTTCTTGAAACTTTGCTGTTGATGGTTTTGCTCTTATGTCTCTGTCTGCTTTTGCTAATTCTTTTGAAGTCTTCTTTTCTCACTGTCCATCCTGTAAATGTTGATGTTCCCAGGTTTCCACAGATGGCCATCCTCTTTCGCCTTCCTGTTCTTTGGAATTTTCCATCTGATCTGGTCCACAGCTCCACCACACATTCACAGATGATTCCCAAATCCATACCGCCACCCAAATTATCCTGTGGATTTATCCATCCTTTAGTCACCCTATGCTGTAGGTCTCCTCTCCTGAAGACCATCCAGATGCACCCACAGCACCACTTTCTTGGTTCCTAATCCATTCTTCACCTGGATTCTTTCCCAACTAGACCTCTCCTTCTAATTTACTGCACATCATTTCCAGAGTGGTCTGACTAAAGTGTACATTGCATCTTAACACCATTTCCCTTCCTCTCACTGGACTTCAGGGAAAACTAACAAATAGCCAGCTCTCCAGGTTTAGTTTTACCTTTTGTGTCCTCTTTCCCAGTACTGGAAATGCCTGTCTGCTATCTAATGTGTGTAGAGTCGGTCTCAACTGCTGCACTCTCAGCACTGCATTTCCCTCCTTTCTGTGTCTGGCCAATCCCTCCAGTCCTTCCCTGCCCCACCTCCACTCTCCCCACTCTGGTCTCTCCCTTTCTTCTGGGCCTCCCTGGCACTTCAGGCTTGCATCTGTCCATTTCAAGTTTTAGATTCTCTGCTCCCTCATAGTACAGCTGATGTCTTTTTGCCTGATGTAGCACCAGACAGTGCTCAATACTGAATAAATGAAAAAGTATGTAACAAATATTTAACAGGAAATTTTAAATTAGCTTTAAGAAATGAATGCTTGGATAATAGCTCAAATGTCGTTCAGTTGGGGGACGCTTAAATAACTTAAGAATTAATATTATGAATAAAATGCAACCATAAATAGTGACAGCTATATCTTTTGACATGGTAAGATCTCCAATAAATATGTGATAAGAAAACAAGTCACAAACCAATATGTATAGTGAGATCCCAAACAGGGAAAGAAATAAATGGTATATCCCACTGTTCTTACAGCACTCTGGTTCCTTTGTTCACGAAGGTCATTTAAGGGGAAAGGCATGAGACTGGGAAAGGTAAGGGCAGTGGGAGGGAGACTGTCAAGGTTTATTGCATGGGTCTCTTGAATGATTATTTCGTTAATATAGAAATATATAATTAAATTGGGAAGTCATATGCTAATTTTTCTCAGATATGAGAAGCCTCAATATTTACGATTTATGGATTATACTTTGAAATTACAGAAAAGCAAACAAAAGAAGATGAGTACCTCTTTAAAAGCAGCCATTTGCTTCTGGATTCGATTCACAAATCGCCACTGTATTACAAGGCTAAAAGAAGCAAAAAAAAAAAATCTGTCTTTTTCACACAAATCAAGGAAAAAAACACCTCAAGACATATTTATCCTTTGTAGAAACAAACAAAATGAAGACCAGCTAAGCCCGAGGTAAACCCTTAATCTGAGGGGGCGACACAGCATTGTTAAATAAAGAAAAAGCGACATCAGGACTCTAGCTACTGGGAAAGAGAGATAATGATAGTGTCTTCCTGGAAAGAAGTACAAAATTATTTCCAGTAAAGTGTTTACTAAGTATAGCAATACACTTACTAACGAAATACTTACTAAATATATTCTTTTTTGTTCTTATTGGTGACAACTATTTCTGATCCACCAACTTTCAACTCATGCTGATGTGTCTAAAATAAAATATACCTTCATATGTTAGATTAGTGAAAAAAATATATACATATTATAGTTATACCAGAAACCTGGTGTTTTAAATTAAATCCATTCAAAACTAAGAAAACTTAAAATATTAGTTTTACTAAAATAAATAAGGAATGAGTCAAATGTCAAAGAAAGCAGAAATTCTTGCTGAGAGATAGCTTTTGTTACTGGAAGATAAATTTAAAAATAGAGCACAGAAATGTTTTGAGTATACACATTATTTAATGTCTAAACTTGTTATAACATTTGTGTCATAATTCATGTACCATTTTAATTCATCAAAGTTTACAAACCTGTCCAAAAAGTTCTTCATCTATGACAAACCTGAGGTCCAGTTCTGTTGGATCATTTTCAAGAATCCACCTTAGTGAATTGTAATATTCACTATCCTAGATGGGGAAATTACATATTTAACATTTGTATATATAAACAAAAGACACCTGCACCTGCAAAGGAAGTATACTGAGAGTCTGAAGGAATAATGGGACCAAAGGTGAAAAGGTCATTGGACACCGTTTCCATACATTCACACGTATTATAAGCTAGCGGCCTGATGCATGAATTTGTGCACATTGAAAGGAAACTAATTAGAAGAAATATTTTAATATCGCTATTAGTGTCAGCCAAATTCACAATCAACAATGGCATATTGAAATACATGAGTGCGATTGGCTCCAGCAAGAGTTTTATGTGTATCGAACATGCGTGAGTCAGCTTAGCCTTTTGTAGATATAGATTAAACTTGCTTAATTAGACCTGCTTTCTGATTTAGCTAAACTTTTTCCAGCCCAGTGAAGTATCCCAACTTCTCTTTTAGGTAATTGTCAGAAGCACAGCAGTAAATATCAACATGAAGCAGATTATTATTACAGATCACGCAGGGAGGACAAAGGGTAAAATATCTAACTGCAGCAGTGTTTGACTATATTCTGTTCAGTGAGAAAACCTGAAGCCATTTTCAAGGTCCACCATTTCATACTTCTTTTCAGTCGGGTCAAGTTTCTAAACTTTCTAAATCTGTTCCCTGGCTAATGAAAAAAAAAAAAAAATAGGATTCCACTGAGTCTCCTATCTACCTACTCCAGGACTTCTGTGAGGATCAAATGAGATGAGGTATGGGGAAATGCTTCACAGACATTTGGTTACAGTGTGAAATGTTTACACCTGGTTATAAAGCAAGTAGTATTCCTGGGCTGAAGACACTGCAAAGAGTCTAGTTGATAGGGAGAGGAAGCTGGGTGTTGCTACATGATGTCATTACCCAGATGGACACTTAGTATATTAGCCTGTTGTTTATACAGATAGAGATGAATGACTAGTACGTGTGAGAGTAAAAATGTATACATCAATAGAGTGGGACCTGCTTAAAAGTTTAGAACTTAATCTCTGTGTGGAAGTAGTGGAGGTAAAAATTTTATTACTCAGTTAAAGGTCAATACAGCAGCTTTCCAATGAATCCTAACTTCCATGGCTACCCAGGAGCTCACAGCACGTTTCCCATGTGGCCTGTGAGACTGTGTGTGTATTGTTTAAGCAGCAGTGGGGAGGCTGTTATTTATACCTGGTCCACGTTAAAGAATAACCTCAAATACAGAATCTCAATTAACCAACTCAAGTAATTGTACAACCTTATGGTTTGTAAAGAATTATACTGTTCACGCTGATATTGTGTCACAGGAAGGGAATACAAAGTGAACTTGGTACTAAGGAAGGGGTCTTGGAACCCATGGGTACATGGTGTTTGAGGCTATTCAGCATGGGCTATGGTGAAGGGTTTAATTTTTATGTTTCTGTTTCTTTGTAGTGGCCTAATCTCAAGGTCTTGCCTTTGAACTGATATTTTGAAAACATATGCCATGCATGATACATGATGACAATTCAAATATTGATGTGAGAAATACATTAAAATGTTGTTCAGCATATTGAAGTATTTTGGGAGAAGTTTACTGATATCTGCAATTTTCTTTGAAATGTATCAGAAAAATAAAATGGGTTGATGGATAGAGGGGTGAATAGGTAGGTGATAAGTAAGTATAGATAAAAAGCCAGTAGTGGAATCTGGATAGTGACTGCACACATGTCCACTATAAAATCTTTTTATCTTATTATATGTTATAAGCTTTTCATAGTAAAATGTTGGGGGAAATGTTATATTTTAGAACATTATAATCTATTAATTTCTTCATCTTTAAAAGCTAATTCTTTAAAATATCCAGTTGCCCATTAAATTATTCATATTGTAAATGAAAAATGACATACCACTGATTCCATATCATGAAGTGTTATTGGTTTGTGTAGCATCATCTTGTAAAATGGGCGGATGAAAAAACCTTGCAAGAAAGCAAATATTTTAAAAATGGTTACCAAATGAAAGAGATCATACCATCACATTACAATTACATTATAATATAATAATTATAATTACATATAACAAAGTTTTAAGCTGAATACTAACCATCCAACAGTTTGCCATGATAAACTGCCATTCCAGCTACCCGGCCAATAAACTTGAAGTAGGAGAGGTGATCTTCATTGCACAGCCCAGAATTTGGATTTATCTGTAGGGTATAATTATCCCTGCAAAGACAACCAAATTTAAATGCTTCTCTCTCTATTTCACACAAAAATTTTAACATGACCAATGATTACAAATCATCACTCTCTTTTTAGAGTTGTTAACCTCTTTTAGAACCATATTAAATCTCTGGCTTTAATGGTTTTCAAAACAGTAATTTCTGTCAAAAGGGAAAAATAACCCAAATGTTCATTGAAAGATAAATGGAGAAACAAAATGTGGTATCTATATATATAAAACAGCCTAATATGCAAAGTGGTCTCTCTGGAGTTTGATCGCTTGCTATGATGTGTGCTGACCACCAGGGGGTGTTGCGGAATGAATGAAGGCCCTGGCTGGCAGCCAGCAGCTGCCAGTGACCCTATCTATGCACGAGTTTCGTTCACTGGGCCTCTATATAACACAATGGGATATTATTTAGCCTTCAAAGCGAAGGGCATTCTGACACATTCTGCAATATAGGTGAACTTTGAGGACATTATGCTAGTGAATTAAGTCAGAAACAAGAAGACAATGCTGTATGATGCCACATACATGAGGTGCCTCAAGTTGACACATTCACACACAGAATGTAAAATAGAGGCTGCCAGGGCCTGGGAGGGTTAGGGGTTAATGGGTACGGAGTTGCAGTTTGGGATGACGGCAAAGTTCTAGAGGTGGATGGTGCTGATACTTGCAGAACGGTGTGAGAGTACTTCACGCCATGAACTGTACCCTCACTTTAAAATGGTTCAAATGGTAAACTTGATGTTAAGTGTATGTTACCACAATTTTAAAAGTTATTTTTGAAACAACATTAGTGGCACAGGGAACCACATACTTTCCTCGCACCATACAACTCTGTCACTTTTAGGACAGGGATGTCCTTGACTGTATACGTCACTGTAAAGTGCTTACGTAGCAGAATATTCAAACAGCCCGTAATAAGGGTTGAACATTTCCTTCGAGATCAGGAAGAACCACTCTCTGGCGACTCCTCCGTAATCTAATCCTTTTTCACCATCAAACTCGATCCACAGCCGAGCCTTGAGGAAGTCCGCTCTCTTGACACCCATGATCCTCCGGTACGAGTCCTCGAGAACAGTTGCCCGGCGAAGTTTCATTTCTAACTTGTTTGGAATGTCGTTCTGAAAGCCCAGAGAGGAGAGACTTCTGGTTTAAATCAATTCCACACAGCGGCAACGTTCTCTCTCGGGAAACTTACACAATTCATTGTACTCTGCCTTGTGCCAAGACCCCTTTTGAGGGAAAGCATGACTAGGAATATTTCCTCTATGGCATGATAGAATTCATACGTTTTCTCTAATCACGTAATAACACAGACTTCTGATTTTTATATCTGAAGAAGCAGCTATAAAAGCAGCCGATGGTGGCAGAAACGCTCCGGGCTCTGGTGAAGGTGTTTTAGGAATAGTCCTTTGCAAACTAAGTTCCAGAGAAGACCCACTTGTGACCTACAAGGTAGCTGCTGCCTGCTACTCGCTACCTGCCTGTCAGTGCAGGGTTTTCCCCTGCTCCCTCCATTCCTCCTTGGAGTCTGTCTCATTCGCTCTTTAATAGGTACCAATATTTACAGCACTGCTCCCCACATTTTAATGGGTTAATGCAATTACTCCCCATAACAGCACTCTGAAGAAGCTACTATTATTATGTCCGTTTTATGGATGAAGAAACTGAAGACAGAAGTTAGAAAAGGCTTAGCTCTTGGGTCTCAGCTCTTAAAGTATGTGCTACATTGCAAAGGATAAGGCAGAGGTCAAGTTTAAAGATAGCTTAAGGCTTTGTAGCATTGGTTTTTAATATTTTTATCTCTGTCTTGGTGTTCTGCTCTTCTGGAGTGATGTGTGCAGATATGGATTTCACTGTTTAAATCATGCCTGCGATTTTTTGTTAAACGAGGGGGGGGGTGTGAGTGGGGCGAGGGGGTGTGAGTGGGGAGGTTCAGATTCTTAGCCTCCTGTGCCATGCTTTGGGAATGACAGCTTGTCTCTTACCATTCACTCATGTTTTTATCTCTTTATATACCTTTGTTGCAATGATAATTTCCTCACAAATTTTCTCTCTTAATCACCAATATATGTCATGATGGTTAAGAACATGGACTCTGGAGCTTGCCACTAACAACTATGACACTTGATCACATTATCTAATCTCTCAGGGCCTTAGTTTCCTCACCTGTGAAATGTGATAATAGTCCCTCTCTGGCATAGAGGGAGCTTCCCAGACAAGAAACATTTAAAGGAGTTTATCACCACCAAACCAGTCCTACATGAAATGTTAAAGGGTCTTTTTGAAGGAGAAGGAGGAGGAAAATGAGGAAGAGGAGGAGGAGAAAATATGAACAATAAAATGGCAATAAATATCTAGTACCTATCAACAACTGAATCTAAAAACAAAATAGATGAACAAGCAGAACTGAAACAGACTCAGAACAGAGAATAGGAGGGACCAGATGGGAGGGTCATTGGGGGGATGGGAGGAAAAGTGAAGGGATTAAGAAGTATAAATTGGTAGTTACAGAATAGTCATGAGGATATAAAGTACAGCATAGAAAATACAATCAATAATATTCTAATAACTATGTATGGTGTCAAATGGGTACAAGATTTATTAGGATGATCACTTACTAAGTTACCTAATGTCTAATCACTGGGATATATATCTAAAACAAATATAATATTGTATGGCAGTTGTAATTGAAAAATAAAAAATTATATTAAAAAAAACTTTTCCCAGAAACATTCAAGTTTAACTGATATCCTGGGTCAATTTTAGAAAGTGATGTTTTTCTAGGAATTGGTCTAAATTAATTATTTCAAATAAGTCTTCAAATCTGAAAGTTTATAGTTTTTAATTTTCTCTCATATGATAATTGCTGATATAAATGTCATTTTAGTTCTCTTTCATTTATAAGAGTTGTTTGTGCTTTGTGTGTTTTTTTCTTTAGGAGATGTCTATTATTCACAAAATAATTTAAAGCAGATTTAATTTCACAAATTTAAAAAATCACTTCTTTCATTTATTGTTGCTTTTTTTAAACTTTAAATGATTTAAGTATATTCTGGCTTTATTTATTCTAATTTATAAATTTGATGTTGAACCCATTACTGTTACCTTTTCTTAGACAGAGTAGAAGGCTGTAAATATTCATGACTGTGTTTTCATTTAATTCTATACCCATTGTTATTTAGTTGCATGGATTTTCAAACCCCATTATGACTTAATTATCTCATGTATTATTAAAAGTACTTTTATTCATTTCAAAAAAGTCCCTTCCTTATAGATTTTTGTAGAGATAACATGAATAATACATTTAACTTGCTAAGAAGACTGCCCAGTATATGTTGAGAGCTCAGTTAGTATTACTGCTTTCATTGTAAGTTCTGTGTTCTATGGCCTGTTTATAAAGGCCTTGTTCCATTATCTCCTGCTGCCTGGAACATAAACAATTAGATATCGGATCATGTTTGTAAGTGTTCAGGGTGACAAAAGGAGAAGTTAGTCCTCCTATTTCACCAGCATTTTTCATTAAGACTGAAAATATTTATCTGGCAAATAAACCAACAAAAACTTAAAATCCCAAAAAATTTTAAGAAGTAGTAAACAAATTTCTAAAGCAATTTTAACAGTTTTTATTGAAAATGAGTTTTAAAAGTTGCTGATATTTTAGGATTTTATTTATACATACAATAGTTTCACTAAACTACTATTATATTTCATTTTTATTAAATTTTGGGTCTTGAATGTGCAAAAGCAGGCTTCTGGCTTAGAAGGCAAGAAAATGTAACCCAATATAGCCACCTACTGGTAGTAATCCATAACTGCAGGGAAAGGGGAAAAGGGTGAGCAAATTGGAAAGGTATTAAAAATATGGTCATTACCAACAGAAATGAAATAGATGGGTAGATAATGAGTTTAATTCCAAACATATTAAATTTTTGGTGATGAAAGAAGTGAACAGATGTGATAAGTACAAGGATACAAGCAACGATAGCACTATTCCTACCACATTTGTACTTTCAAATTATACAATATATTATAAACAACATTAAAAGCAGAAAAGGAATCTAAGAGAGTCCTACAAAGTCAAAGACCAGGAGGAGATCATCTCCCGAGCTACTCTTGTTCAGATTCTACAAAGCCCAATCCCCACAAACCCCTCCAGGAAACAACGTTAGAGTTCTTTAAAAGCAAACTTTTAATATTACTTTTCTAGATTACAGGATACCTTGAAAAATAAAGACATAAAATAACTGTGGTCTCTAAAGGTATATAAAAAAAATAAGCATTCTTTCCCTATAGGAAACTAGTTCAAGTTGTTACAAACACAGAACAAATTTTCTTACTATATTCTTTTCTTTCTTTTCTTGTATCTCCTTCATCCATTTAAAAAAGTATTTCCCATCACCTCAGTGTACATAACATTCATTCTTAAAAACTCATTATAAGTATCACTAACCTGCTTCTTCAACTTTCTTCGGAAGAACTCATACTTCCTTTTGTAATCCCTGGAGTAGGGCACGGCCTTGAGTTGAAATTTTTGGAAAAATAAAGAAGGTTTAGGTTGTTTTATTTTGGAACAATTTTAAAAGTTCCTCTCGGTATTTTACGAACATGAGTTAAAGGCATTAAAAGAGAATATTTGGAAAGACAAGTTTAGTTTAAAGAAAAACAAGTAAGTTTTTACAAAACTTAAAACATTTTAAATTTCTCTGTTTAAGATAAAATTGTATTCAGCAATTGCTATGGCTGTAATTTTCATCATTCAATATTCTTGAAATGCAACATGCCAGAAACAGGAAATTTCTTCCAAGAAGAGAAATATTAGAAATGAAAATTTCCATTTCTAAAGAGACTTTCAAAGTGATTTCTCCATTAAGGGAACAATTTGAAAAATGTACTATTTCCTTGAACATTGAGGAGTTGCCTTTTTTATCCATTATTTTAAACAATCAAACATGGAGACTAAAGAATGAACTAAAAGAACTGTATCTTTAATTTTACTTATTTTGTGAATTAAAAACAATTAAAATCTGAATAATTAAAAAATGGAAATTTTACTATATAAAAGAGGATAATAATTTTCCTATTATTAACTTGACTCAACAGTAGTATAAACATCATACATGGCAATATTTAAATATAAGTGTATCGTATATCTCTCTCTCTTTATCTATATCTCTTATATCTACAATAATTTTGACCAAAAAGCTCAAGATGCAGGCCCAGAGTAGACAGGGCACTATCTATTTCCTCACCTGTACACTCTAGAGTCCTCTCAGATCTTCTGTGGCCTGACATTCTTTTTCAGACAATGGCAAGTATGAGCCTGAGCATAGCAGCTCTCTGCCTTAACATTTTGACTGTCTGGCTTACTAGTCTCCCAAAGCTACTGTGCAGGAGAAGGATATACCCTTATATGCTTTTTTGAAATATCTGAGAACTGGAGTTGGGGTGGTAACAGAGGAGAGAAAGGCAAATATGCTTTCCTCTCAATGCCTGTAGGGTTACGCACTTGACCATTCATCCTTAAAGAGACAAGTGATAGGACAAGCCCATCAGAACATACTGATACGAAGAAACTTACTGGTCCAGTTATTGCTACATTCTGCAACCGAGGATCTTCCCACTGCGTTCTTTTTATATCTGAAGATAGAGAGATAGAGATAGAGATAGAGAGAGATAGAGAGAGAGAAGATATTCTTCATTTTTATGCACAAAAGTCAATATTATGAAATAATGTAATGAAAAATTACGTTGCACGTACTGTGATTTATGTAGAAGATTCTTCCATCTGTGTGAGTTCTTTCTTCCCATCCTGGCTATAATGAAGAATGTATTTCAATTATTTTACAAAAAGGGTTTTAAATGTATAGGTAGAAAAATGCCATTGGTTATATGATTAAATTAATTTGCATATTTCATTTTAATAGAAGGCAGCAACACTTTAATAATATTATGTATAGCTGTTAAAAAAAACTACTACTGTATTCCAAATACAAAATGTTTAATGCGGCCAAGTTAGATTGGTAGCAGCTCTATAAACTTACAGGTAAAGGTCCAAGGTCATTGGAAGACTCTAGTGATGTCTTTCCTCTCAGATGAGCTGGAATTTTCAATCTTGGATCTTCCTTTTTTATAGAATAAATGAAGAAAACAGTATAATTTTAAAATCATGAAAGTCAATCTGATACAATGTTTTCTAATACCAATGAATACTTAAATTATTATCTTTCAAAAATATATTTTTATTGATTTCAGAGAAAAAGGGAAAGGGAGAGAGAGAAACTTCAATGATGAAGAACCATTGATCAGCTGCCTCCACCCAGGCATGTGTCCCGACAGGAAATTGAAACCGTGACCTCCTGATAAATTGATGCTCAGCCACTGAACCACACCAGCCAAGCTTAAACTATTCTTTTATTTCATTTGCTTAATCTGAGAAATAATAGTTTCTCCATATAAGATCTTGTATCATTTTCAGGCTACAGTATTTAGTTCTCAGATTTCAGAGTCGGATCTGTGTTAACTCACCATCTCTCCCAGAAAACATTCGGAGTATTTTGTCTCATTCCTTAGGGCTACACAGGACTCTTCTCTAAATAAAATCGGGGGAAAGAGTGGGACGTAAACTGGACTACTTGTGATTTCTGAAGCCCTGAACATGCTTTTTGGAACCTGTTAACGTGTTGCTTTATTAATATTTTTGAAAGATAGGATGGCAAGCTCAAGTAAGTTATAAAAGTCAACTAAATTATTGAAAAAGAGACCTTCAATTCACTTAATTATTATTTTAATATTTTATTAAATAATTTATTAAATTATTTTAATTTTTTTAGGTACACTGGTCTTTAAAATAAATTAATTAATCAAATCTAGTTATTTTGCTGCTAATTTTCAGTAATTTTTCTATTAGTGGTGAACCAATGGCTAAATAACTTTAAGCCCTTTGTCGTAAGATAAAAATACTTATTCTAGCCGAGACTGGTTTGGCTCAATGGATAGAGCGTCGGCTTGGGGACTGAAAGGTCCCGGGTTCGATTCCGGTCAAGGGCATGTAAATTGGTTGTGGGCACATCCCCAGTAAGGGGTGTGCAAGAGGCAGCTGATCGATGACTCTCTCTCATCGATGTTTCTAACTCTCTATCTCTCTCCCTTCCTCTCTGTACAAAATCAATAAAATATATTTAAAAAAAAAATACTTATTCTACTTAGCCTTACAAGTTGTTGTTTTTTAAATATTAAATGAAGTACAGATTCAAAAGTACTTTGGAACTACAAAGATAGATTACTAAGTATCTTCCCAAGCATTTATGACTAGTGAATTTAAACTTGGATATAGGAAGTAAATGTATCTATAGGACAAGACCCCCAAATACTACAGATAGTCATAAACATATCTCGAATAGACAATAGTATTATGACTTCAGCATATCTTTAAATGAATACTGGACAATGAAGGTTATATTAGTGCACTAGTACACTTAAGAAGATTATAAAGAACTGTATATAAGAGATTACTATTGTTGTTGTTATAAACTTAAACTGGAGAGTATTAAAGTTACCCAGGTGGTGGTTTTGGTGTTGTGGTCAATAAAGAAGGGCCTCCCGTTTGGTGCATGCCGGACTTCCCAGCCTTTAGGAAGGAACCCTTGCTCCATTTCAGACGGCTGAGTCACCTGCTGAGCCGAATCACTTGTGGGGACCTGTGGTTGAGGGCTTGCAGAAAAACTCTGGCTTGCTGGCAGCTGACTGGTCTCCACCATGGCCTAGCACATTAATTAAATCATGTTGTAATGTTTTATAGAGGATACACAAATAGCTGTGGTTAAAAGGTAACAACCTGCAGGCAGAATATACACTTGTAAATAAGCCTAAACATTGGAGGCTCGTTTTTTAAAACAAAGTGTTCTGTTAAACTTTGTTGTTGTTATTTTTTAAAATAAATTTCATTTCTCAGCTAATTCTTGAGCAGTAAGATGCTGGTTAGACAAGTTGTTGCTGATGCATGTGACTAAGCTAAGCCCTAGCTACAAGAGAAGCCATAGTACAACTGCAGGAGGTTATCTTTGCTCACCCAAAGACTCACAGGTGGGGAATTCTACAGATTTAGAAGTGGGTTCAAATGCTGGATAGACAAAAATACATGACAACTATCCATTATAGAAATGGCTAGTTGAAATACAGTCATCTGATGAAATATTAGACAGTAGTTAAAAGAAATACACTGGATCTCTATATTTTAAAAAAGGATGGAGTTTTAAAACAATGGTGAGCAAAAAAAGATTCAGAATTATACAACACAGCATCTTTGCAAAGTTTGAAACACATGGACATAAACGATATTTTGCACTGTTTAGCTCTGTTTGTTAGTATAAAATAGGGTAGAATACACAACAAATTCATAAAGGTGGTTCTCTCTGGGGAGTATGAACAAGTGTTTGGCTAAAAACAAATTTCTTTTATCTGTAAAATTTTATTTTAAAAAATAAAATGCCTAGAAATGAATATAGTAATTTGCTAATAGTGGTAAATTCCGGGTGTCAAGAAAAAGGGTATCTGTTATGTTATTCTCAATAAGAGAAATGGTGATAAGATAAAATAAATATTTCCCTAAACACTTTCAAATGCACTCACTGTTGTCAAGACAAAATGTCATCAACACAGATTTTTTTAATCGATACAAATTACTAAGATTACCTTTTAGCTAAATAATGGTCTTAACCATTCAAATTACAAAATTACCCAACAAACTAGATCATTTACTTTGTCCTCTTATATTTGTTTTATATAATGACAAGTGGTAATTCATGCATACCAGAGATCCACAGGAAATAGTAGACACTTAGCACCAATGTCAGAAAACAACTAGCACCTGGTAGCAGCATCCAACATATACCACAAAATGATGCAACAGCTTCCATAGAAATATGATGGCTTCATTTAGGTAAGAAAACAAGATAAGTTTGAGGGTACCTGTACAGTGGGCTTTGTCCACGTAGTGGTTCTGGAATTGTGATCTACATAGTAAGATCTTCCTCTTTCATCTTGTTTTTCTTCCCAACCTGGTGGTAATCCAGATGAAGTAGGCAAAAGCTAAGATGAAGAATAATGAGAGAATTGAATATGACTAAGGAAAAAAATGCGTTTAAAAAGACCACATCCCTTTGTCACTGCTGGCCCTCTTTAAAATGAAACATGTTTTAAATAATATTTTGAAGTGTACACAATAAATTATATAATAAGTTCATTTAAACAAAAACAGTAGACAATAAAGATGAGGGTATTAACACTAAGAAAACATGACAGTAGGAATTCTGATCCAATATGGCAGAATGGATGGAAACTGCCTTCACTTCTTCCCATGACCACATCAAAATTACAACTAAATTACTGAACAATCAACCTGAATAACCAGAATAGCCATCTGAAGACTAGCTGAACAGATGTCTTATAATTAAGGATTTACAGAAGAAGCCACATGAGACTGGTAGGAGGGGTGGAGACATGAAACAGGCTGGCCCTGCACCCACATGCAGTGGTTGAGAATCTGAAGGGATCTCATCTGCAGAGGTCCCTCTGGGGATCCAAGGGTCTCAATTCCACATTGAGCTCCCCAGCCCAGAACTAAAGTGCCGGGAAGAAGAGCCCACGTAACATCTGGATGTGAAAAATCTATGGGGATTTCTACCCAGAGAGATGGATGGCTGCTGGACACCTAGGTGAACTCCTAAAGGGCTTGCACACACAGTCTTGTTCCCAGGCACTCAGCCGGAGCTCTAGCCAAGGGATAGCAGCTTAGAAGGTATCTGAGTCATCCAGGGAGAAACTGACTCGTGTGGTTTTGGAGAGAGGGCTGGAGGGACAGTCCCCAAGGACCCTGCTGTTGAGTCCCTCTCCCACACGGTACACAGATGCCATCTTTCCTGGGCCAAACACTTCCCCCTCAGAGCATTAGCCTAGTGAGCTATACTAGTCCTACCCTGACGGCTCCCAGAGGCCTTGTGCTACTCAAGCTGGTCAGAGTTGTGGGTTCTGCCAGCGGCAACCAGCTGGGGCCCACACTGCAGTCTTTCTTAAAAAACACGTAAGGAATTCTGGGTGTCAGAGACACACAGAGAGAAACTGAGTTGTGTGACTTCATAGAAAGGGCCGTCTTCCTGCATGCTCGGCAGGTGCCTCCTGTCCTGTGTGGAGCCCTCCCTCAATCTGCTGTAACCTGATGAACTCTACTGGCTCCACCCTGATGACTCTCCGAGACCCTATCCCACCGCAAAGATGCCCAGGCCCTAGGCAGGTGGCAGCTGGTCTTTGGTGTACCCTGAGATTTTGGCTGAACGGCTTTAAATCCAGAACTAGCGCCAAGTTGAATCTGTATTAAACTTGGTGAACATCACTTGCCCTTACCTAGTGATTCCCTGTGAATCCAACACATGCAACTAGCGTATTGCCAAAGGCTCTTTCAGCGGCTGAGCAGAACGGGCAGCCTTTAGGCAGTGGCAGGTCTCAGGGTGGCTGGGGCCTTTTGCTGATCTGCCCCAGGCCTTGTACTTGTGGCAGCTGGCTTTGGTACAAAGCTTGGCCCCTCCTGCCTTCACCAAGGCTCACCAAGGGAGCTGCCAACTGTGGATTGCTTTGTAGCTCCAGAGCTGGTTGCAGGCAGCGTATGACATTGACCTGCACCAGAGTCTCTCCCAATAGGCCCCAGAACCAACATACAGGATGGCGGTCTTCAAACCACAACAGAGCATGACCCAATTAGCTCCAAAAGTGATACACCCAAAGGGAGGTCCCAGAAAGCACCAGACCCTGTGAGGGCAAGTTCTGTTTCATGGGGTCAGACCCTATGCAGCAGCTCAGACATTGATTGTGACCAATCCTCATAACCAGCCAGTGGAGGGTCAATCCCACTGATAGATATGCCAATAGCAATCAAAGCTCAACTACAAAAGGAAGGCATACATAACCTACTCAAGGTATGCTCGTGGAGCACCAGGCGATCAGGGCGTCTATGCCGCGGAGTCGCTCAGGACACTTATACTATAATACATAAAGGCCACTCTACCGAGACTGGGAGACATGCAGATCTACCCAAAACACAGGAAATGCCCTAAACAAACAAAAAACAAGCAGGAGAAATCTTCAGGAAAAAATGCTAAATGACATGAGGGCAAGCAGCCTATCAGATAGAGTTCAATAAATTGGCTATAAGAGTAATCAAGGAACTTAGTGAGAACTTCACCAAAGAGAGAGCAAGTATAAAAAAAGACACAGAAACCAATCAGAAATGAAAAGCACAATATCTAAAATGAAGAATACACTAGAAGGAATCAACAGAAGATTAAATGAAGTAGAAAACTGAATCAGTGATTTGGAAGGCAAGGTAGGAAAAAACGCTTAACCAGAGCAACAAAAATAAAAAGTAATTTTTAAAAATGAGGATAGTTTAAGGGACCTTTGGGACAACATGAAGCATAACAACATCCACATCATAGGGGTCCCAGAAAGAGAAGAGAGAGTAAGGGATCGGGAAGCTATTAGAAAAAATAATAATAGAAAACTTCCCAATCCCGGCAAAGGAAAACGATACACAAGTCCGCGAAGCACAGAATCCCAAACAAGATGAACCCAAAGAGGCCACACCAAGACACATCATAATTAAAATGCAGAAGGTTAAAGACAAAGAGAGAATGTTAAGAGCAACAAGAGAAAAGCAGTTAGTTACCTACAAGGGAGCTCCCATAGACTGTCAGCTTATTTTTCCACAGAAACTTTGCAGGCCAGAAGGACTGGCATGAAATATTCAAAATGGTTATATTCAAGGACCTACAATCAAGTCTACTCTACCCAGAAAGGCTATCATTTAAAATTCAAGGAGAAATAAAGAGCTTCCAAGATTTACGGTAAACCCCCCCCCCAAAAAAAAAAAACAAAAAAAAACACAACACTAAACCACACACACACACACACACACACACACACACACACAAAAAAAAAAAAAAAAAAAAAAAAAAACTAAAGTAGTTCATCACCACCAAACTATTATTATAAGAAATGTTAAAGGGACTGAAAGTGTCTTTCAATAATCACTTTAAATGTAAATGTAAATGGCATAAATGGTCCAATCAAAAGATATAGGGTAGCTGAATGATTAAGAAAAGAAGACCAGGGAGAGAATCCAAGATGGCTGCTCGGGTAGGCACCTAGCCGCAGCCGCACGCAACAATTTCAATAAAATACAACTAAAATATAAAATGGACATCACCCAGAACTACAGGAAAGTCGACTGACTGGAAATTCTACAACGAGAAGCAAGGAGAAAACCAGAAGGAAGTGCGGAGGAGCTGGAAAAGCCTAAGGTACGGAGACACGCGGCGCGCGGAGAGGATGGAGCCGGAGAGGAGGGAGGCCGAGTGCCTGGCGGGCGTTCCCTAGCAGGAAGGAGATAAACGCTCCGACTGTGCTGGCCCCCATTCTGACTGCTCTGAACCCCAGTTCTAGGCCAGACCCCGGGGACCCAGGCTCACACAGAGGGAGCCTGGCTGAAAGGCGGAACCCCGGGGAAGAGGCGAAAGGAGGTCCTGGCGGCGCCGCACAGAGAAGGACCGGCCGGCTGTGCCTCGGGATTGCCTGGCAGGAAGGAGACTGGGGCTCCAGACTGCTCTGAACGCCACCTCCAACTCCACTTCCAATTGAACTTAACCCCAATACCGAACTTAACCCCAATACTGGGGGAGAGACTAGACTGTTTGGCAGCAGGCGAAAATCGAGGGCACCTCTCTCTCAGAGGTGCTAGCAGCGAGTACTGAAGGACCCTGGGGATTACTGAGACCCAGGAATCGCATAGGGCGGGGCTGACGGAAGCCAAAGCTGTAGGCTCCACCCTGAAACCCCGCCCCATCAGGAAAGCTGCCTGCGAAAATGCCTAAACCAAATAGATCACAAACGAAAGAAATGGAGGACAAAAAGCGACTGGATATAGAGTTCAAATCTACGCTTATAAGGTTTTTCAAGAATTTCCTAGAAAAGATGGATAAGACCTATGAGGATATGAAAAGAGATCAACTAGAATTAATAAGGAATCAACAAGAAATAAAGAATACATTGTCTGAAATAAAAAATATTATATAAAGTCCTAAAAATAGAATTGAAGATCGCAAGAATCAAGTCAAAGATTTGGAACATAAAGAGCCAGAAGAAACTCCTCTGCAGAAGCTAGAAGGCAAGAGAATCCAGAAAATTGAAGAGGATGTAAGAAACCTCTGGGACAACTTCAAACGATCCAACATCAGAATTATGGGGGTCCCAGAAGATGAGAGAGAGCAAGATATCGAAAACATATTGAAAGAAATAGTGACAGAAAACTTCCCCCACCTGGGGAAAGAATTGGACTTACAAGTCCAGGAAGCACACAGAACTCCAAAGAAAAGGAACCCAAAGAGGACCACACCAAGACAAATCATAATTAAAATTCCAAGAGCAAAAGACAAAGAGAAAATATTAAAAGCAGCAAGAGCTAAGCAGGTAGTTACCTATAAAGGAGCACCCATACGATTGTCAGCTGACTTCTCAACAGAAACCATGCAGGCCAGATGGGAATGGCAAGAAATATTCAAGGTGATGAATAGTAAGAACCTACAGCCAAAGATAATCTATCCAGCAAAGCTATCACTCAGATTCGAAGGTCAGATAAAGAGCTTCACTAATAAAAAAAAGCTAAAGGAGTTCATCACCACCAAACCAGAATTATATGAATTGCTGAAGGGGGTTCTTTCAGAAGAGAAAGTAAATAAAGATAAAAATTATGAACAACAAATACGTAACTATCAACAAGTGAATCTAAAAACCAAGGAAATTAAAAAAAAAATCTGAGGAACAATGTTAACTGTTGAATATAATAGAGTCAGAGGTATAGAAGGGGAGTGAACTGACGATTCTTGGGGAAAAGGGGAGAGGGGGATATGGGAAGAGACTGAACATAAACTGTGCACCTATGGATGAGGACAATGGGGGTGGGGAAAGGGCAGAGGGTGGGGTGGGAAGGGGGGGAAGGGACATTTGTAATAATATGAACAATAAAAATTAAGGGGAAAAAAAAAAAAGAAGACCAGCTCTCGCTGATTTGACTCAGCAGATACAGAGCGTCGGCCTGAGGACTGAAAGGTTCAGATTTGATTCTGGTCAAGGGCAGGTGCCCTGGTTGAGGGCTTAATCTCCAGTAGGGGGCATGCAGGAGGTAGCTAATTGGTGATTCTCTCACATCATGGCTCTTTCTCTTTCTCCTTCTCCCTTTCTCTCTGAAATAGATAAAAATATATATTTAAAAAAAGAGACTCACTTCAGTTACAAAGATACACAGAGATTGAAAATAAAGGGATTAAAAAAGATATTTCATGCAAATGGAAACAAAAAGAGAGCTGGGGTAGCAATATTTATATCAAACAAAATAGATTTTAAAATAAAGCTATAATAACAGACAAAGAAGGACATTGCATAACAAGAAAGGAATCAATTCAATAAGAGAATATAACCCTGGTAAATATTTATGTACCCAACATAGTATCACCTAAATATATAAAACAAATACTGATGGACGTAAAGAAAAAAAAAAATCAACAGTAAGAGGAGACTTTAACATCCCACTGGCATCCATGGATAGACCTTCCAGACAGAAAATCAACAGGGGACAGCTTTAAATGACACAGTAAAGCAGGTGAGTTAACGGATAGCTTCATAGCCTTTACCCCACAGCAGCGGAATATACGTGACTGAATCCTGACATGACGCTTCATGTGTGGGGCAGAATAGCTGCTCTATGCCCCGGGCCGTGTACAGAGCCCCGGCAGCTGGACACCATCATCCTGAACCATGGGCTCCCTGCGGCAGACCCCCTCCAGCCAGGACAGCCCTTCAGACAAGCCGGATGTCACCCACAGTCAGAGATGGGCTTTCTCACTATGGCGGGAGGCAGTTCTTCAGTTCGTTCTTAAAGAAACTACCTACTCAGCTTTCCTCCCTGCACCTCCTATCCCTAGATCCTGGGCTGGATCAGTACTCCACCAGGCAGTCAAAAGTTATACTCAATGTTAAAAAAAAAAAAAAAAAAAAGGAAAAAAAAGAAAAAGAAAAAGAAAAGATTTCTGAATTTTATTACATTTTCATTGATGATGGGGGGGAGGGGGGCTGAAACTCACCACAGGAAGGGTAGGCTGTTCCTCAAAAGTGTAGGCTTGTAAGCTGCCTCTTCTGCTGGAATGATTCTTATTAAAAAAAAAAAAAAAGAATAATGATAATTTTATATATTGGATTTGTCTTTGAGAGGTTGATAACATCGTGGGGGTGGGTACGAGGGAGTAGAAGAAAGAACACGGGCTAGACCACCCACGTGCTAAGGCCTTCAGCTTCTAGACACCTCCCCCTCCCCAGACTGCCTGCCTCCTGGACACTTGCCCTTTAATGTCACACACACACCCCTCACTGCGACCCAGACTGCATCCGGTCTCTCCCTGTTCACAGCCACTCAAACCCTCTCCTCATTTCAGTGGGCAGCACGTGAGGCCAGCAGCTGCCCAAGTCAGATGTCAGACCCCAAACTCCTCCACTCCTGTCCCTCACAGCAAGGTCTGTCTCCAGATCCTATTCATTTCTGTTTCTTGACTGGCTCACAAATACACTCCCTCTCCACCTTGGTTCAAGTTTGTTGTTTTTAAAATGCCAAGTGTTCCTCATTTGTCACCTTGGTTGTTACTGCTGCAGCAACATCCTAATAGATTTCCTGACATCACGTCTGATTTCCGTGAATCTACATCCCACAGGGTGTGCTGCAGCCAGAGACCACTGTACAGCGCGAGTCAGCTGCCGGCTTCTCTAGCTCGGAGGCCGGCAGTGACTGCACACCCACACCAGGGTAAACCCACAGCCCGGAGCCCAGACCGTGAGCTTCAGGACCGAGCTCTTCTCTTCCAGCACCTCCCACCTCACAAACAAGACTGCTTGTTTCCCAGAAATTCTATGTACTCTCTTTCCTTGTGTTTCCAGACGCACGTTGTTGTCTCTATCTAAGATATCTTCGTTTTGTTATTTAATGACATCAAAATTTATAATGCACATATAAATGAACTCAGAATAGCCATTGTACCATTGTTTATAATAACAGAGAGCTATAAACAATCCTACATCTATCAACAGGAGACCAGGAGACGGTATGATCCCTGAAGGTTTATTTGCACATTAAATATGGCAGAGTTTGATAATTTTTGTTGTTGTTTTTAAAAGGAGTAAGTTTATGTTTACTGAAATGGTCCAATGGTCTATGATATAGCAAGTGAAAAAAGCAAGTTACCAAAAAGTGTGTATGAGATGATCTCAGGTTAAAAAATTATATAGAAATATATGTGTGCTCACACGTTTATAAATATAGAGAAAATGTTTAGGACAATAATGGTATATGCCAAACCATTAGTAGCAATTGAGGAAGCATGTGTTAGAAGTAATATGGAAGATTTAACTTTTATTTTATATACTTCACTATTGTTTTAATTGTTAACCATGACCATGCAACACTTTTAAAGGAATAAATTGTTTTTCTGAATAAGCAACACATGCGTATGTATGCTATAAAATTCAAAAGTTACCAAAGACACATGTTCTGCTCACTTGTTCCTCCATTCAGAGCTGAGTAATGTTACTAGTTTCCTTCAGAGTCTTCAATAAACCTCATACACATATTTGTCTATGTCATTTAAATAATTTACATAAAGAATAGTACATTCCTGTAACCAGTTTGGTTCAGTGGATAGAGTGTTGGCCTGCAGACTGAAGGGTCCCAGATTCGAATCCTGTCAAGGGCATGTACCTTGATTGCAGGCACATCCCCAGTGGGCGGTGTGCAGGAGGCAGCTGATCGATGTTTCTCTCTCATTGATGTTTCTAACCTTTTATCCCTCTCCCTTTCTCTCTGTAAAAAGTCAATAAAATATATCTTTAAAAAAATAGTCCCATAGTGAACATTAAAAAAAAAAAAAAAAGAATAGTACACTGGCACACTGTTTTGTACCTTGCTGGTTTTCACCAACTAATATCTTAGAGATTGTTCCACACAATACATACATTCAAAGTCATGACTTTCTTTTCAATGTCTGCATAATACTTCATTGTATGGATACCATATATATTACTTTTTAAATAATAAAAAAAAAATAACAGGAGAAAAGGGAATAGAATCTTATGTGATTTATCACCATTAAATCTTTACATCTTTACATCTTATTCTTTACATCTTTTATTGACCTTTCCCACGCCCCTGACAAAAATGAAAAGAAAATGGAAGAGAGACTAGACAGGTTGAGGGAAGGAGGGAAAGAGAGCAGATGAGCTCTGGGATATCCACACGAGTATTCACAGAGAACTGTCTACAGTGAAGTTTGTTGAGGAAAGTGCTGAAACAAATCAGCAAACTTCTGTTTCCTCTTTGTCTCTCTTATAACTACTCAACTCTATCAATGTAGTGTAAAAGCAACCATAGGTATCACTTAAACACATGGATATAGCTATATTTCAATAACACTTGAACATATTGTGCCTTGCAAATTGTTGGCCATCAATAAATATTTACTAATTGAATGAAAAGCAGAGAACTCCAACTAGAAATGACGATAGCATCCTCAGAGAAAGATCTCTGTCTTTCACTGAAAGAACTCCCTTTCAGATACAGATGAGAGAGCTAGCCATAAAGATAGCATTACGGCAGTGCATGTTGGAATACTTGCTTCTGAAACCTACACACAGCAATTCTTATAGCAGTTACTGAAGGGAGAGTGCCATCTGTCTCCTTGTTTAGTCAGAGTACATCAGCACTTATTCACACTTGTGCCTTGGAAACATGTGTGGTATAACTGAGGAGGAGAAAGCAGGATCTAGCCTGACACTCACTGGTAGGATCAAGACAAAATCAAGATGCATCTGTAATTATGCCTGGACACAGACAAAATGTGAACATTTTTTAAGCCCAAAATACCAAATATCTCCCTATCCTGGCAAACGTGAATGACTGCTGCCTCTTGACTAATTATAGCTTTTGCCTGGCTATAGATAAAATTTGAGAGACCCAATGATAGAGTTACCCCTGCTTCCTGACAGCATCCAAGGCACAAGCAAAATCCTGCTTTCCTACACCCTCCCCCAAATTGCCTAACATGAGCCCAAATCCATTAAGTCTTTTCTAACATATCTTACCGAAACACTCATGGTGTGTGCTCTCCCTTTCTGAAATGAGTAATAAACCCAATTTGTTCAATTACAAGTGTGTTCATGGCAGTGTCTGGCTGAAGGGCATTGACATAATGAACATTTGGACTCCAATGACCATTTAGATTATCCAAGACTCTGTTCCATACCATTAGTGGTACTATTTGGAAAAAGATCACACTGTAAAATCCCAAAGTGCCTAACACATTATTGCATGCCATTTAGACAAAGTTGTATTCACAAGAAAAAAAGAATGTTTGTAAATATGTGAGGTGATGGATGTTAACTAAATTACTGTGTTGATCATTTTGAAATATATATATATATACACATATATGTATGTATATCAAATTATTATGCTGCACCTGTTGAACTAACATAATGTGATATGTCAATTATATTTCAATAAACTGGGAAAAGACAAAATGTTATGTAAAAATTAGATCCTGAATGAACAAATACCCTATATAATAAAGAGGTAATATGCAAATTGACCATCACTCCCAACACACAAGATGGCCACCCCCATGTGGTCAAAGATGGCTGCCACAAGATGGTCAGCAGGGAAGGGCAGTTGGGGGGACTGGGCTGGCAGAGGACAGTTGGAAAGAACTGGGTCAGCAAGGAAGGCAGTTGGGGGTGACCAGGACTGCAGGAGAGGGCAGTTGGGGGCAACCAGGCCTTCAGAAGAGAGCAGTTAGGGGTGACCAGGCTGGCAAGGGAGGGCAGTTAGGGGCAACCAGGCCTGTAGGGGAGGGAAATTGGGGGCAACCAGGCCTGCAGGGAAGGACAATTAGGAATGACAAGGCCAGGAGGGGAGCAGTTAAGCATTAATCAGGCTGGCAGGGGAGTTGTTAGGGGGTGATCAGACTAGCAGGCAGAAGTGGTTAGGGGCAATCAGAAAGGCAGGCAGGCGAGTGTTTGTGAGCCAGCAACCCTGGATTGTGAAAGGGGTCCCAGATTGGAGAGGGTGCAGGCTGGGTTGAAGACACCCCCCCGCCCCCCATGCACAAATTTCATGTCCGAGCCTCTGATGTATAATATAAAATCCTGACACTACAATAAAATCTAAGATCATCTTACTGAGCTGGATACTGGCTGGCCAGTGGCTGAATTTCCATCCATAGTAAGTAAGGCATTCAATTCTTCTGCAAGGTGAGTCTGAACATCCGAGTTGTTTGATGGTGGAGGTGATGAGAAGGCCCGATCACTATACAAGATGGCTTCATCTTCTCTTATAATTTCCCAATTCTAAAATGAACAGAATAAGCTTAAGCCACACATACTTTAATCTGTTGCCGTAACATGTGTCTATCTACGAGAAAAAGAACATTATATCTACCTCGGAAGAATCTCGGTTGTCAACACTTTCCGTTTCCTCAGATATCTGCCGCCTGGTGGTAAATGCCCGTTGTGCTTGCAGTTGAATGTTACCATTCTCAGCATCTGATAGGCTGTCCCTGTATTAGAAATAGTAAAGCTATCACTCATGTCTGACATGTCTGAAGGGAGTTAAAATGATAGCCAAATGTCCTGTGACCATTTAAAAAAACACCTATGTTAGATCAGAATGTATTCTTTTCAACATGCATACATTAAGTTGTGGGCACATTGGTACCTTATGAAGTGAAAGCTGGTGAAAGTGTGTATGTGACATGTCTGACTTTGATATTTTAGTTCATTACTGTACCTAGGATAGTGTTTGACATGTAGGGGAACGCTACATATTTGTTGAATGAATGACTATCTGAGAATTTCACAAATAATTTCATTATATTATTTTGCAAAGGTATCACAAAAGTATAATCTAAAGTAGTTCTTGAAAGTTCATAAAAGAGAAGCTTAAATAGTTGCATCTATATCTTTATGAATCAGATGGCAACATTTCCTAGAATTGATCTTAAGCCAAGAGTAGAGTTCCCCATGCATGAATATAGAGAGAAGAATATAAAGACAGGACACTACAATAAAAATGTAATATACTGCAATGAAATGGTTATCCATTTTTGATTATACATATGTATAGTCATGGTCCTGGTCTAATAATAAGGGTATGTCTGGGTTTAGGAAAAGCATGGGGTACCATACTGAGGGACAGGTCTTTTCTACTGTACCTTTCCTAAATTGCCCGTCATTTGTTTGTCATATTATTCTATTATTTACATTTATTATATCTAAACCATCAGGTCAAGATTTGATTTACAAATATTTAATAACAAAAGCATTGTTAATTTAGTTAATACTATATAAGTCCAGGATAGTGAGGACACCGTTCTTACTGTACCATTGCTGGAGAACACACAATTTTGACAGCTTCCCCTCCCCTCCCAAATACTTAATTTTGGCTAGCTGAAAACGACATCAACCATAGAGAAAGAAATGTGATTCTGCTCAAGTTGGGCTGGCTGTAATACTGAGTAGGCAATACGACAATTTGCAGAATTTTATAGTGTCTTCAGTTTTGTCATCTGTATGTCATTTTACAGAGATCAATGCCTCTGTACCATGATCACTCATTTGCTTTGGAAGGATCTGAGAACATAAAATACCTGTGAAAGTACTTGAGCTGTAACAGGCAAAAAGTTAGAAGGTTCATGGAAAATAAAAAAAAATTAAGTGTGCCAAAAAGCAGAAAACTGAAGAAAGACTTCAGAAGGCTATGAGAAATAGGAGAGTTGATAATAAATATGAATAACTAGAGAATTTATTTACAAATGTATAGTCTGATGATAATATGAGAAAAATGTCACTGAGGAGATGTATCTATAATAATAAAAGTGTAATATGCAAATTAGACCTTCAGGACGACATTCCAAACGACCTTCTGGATGAAGCCAGGGCTGCGAGGGCCAAGCCCCTTGCACGAATTTCGTGCATCAGGCCCCTAGGATTAGAATGAAGATCATTTTTGAAGGTCATTCTGTCCTTGGTCTTGTGTATGGTGGAAATTATGCACACATTGACCATATTGGCAAATGGGTGCTTAACAAAAGATCCTTATAGTTGAATCCTTTATATTTTACAAATAACTTGTATATTTTAAAGTGTGCTATAGAATTTAAGATTTTATAATATCTTAGTAACAAATGACAAAAAAAATCTCTAAGATTTTCTAAATAATTCTAAAGAGAAAAATGTGTCCTTTGTGACGATATATTATAATATTAAAAACAAGCACAGTTGCTGAGATTGGTTTGGCTCAGTGGACAAAGCATCGGCCTGCGGACTGAAAGGTCCCAGGTTCGATTTCGGTTAAGGGCATGTACCTTGGTTGCGGGCACATCCCCTGTGGGGGGTGTGCAGGAGGCAGCTGATTGATATTTCTCTCTCATCAATGTTTCTAACTCTCTATCCCTCTCCATTCCTCTCTGAAAAAAATCAATAAAATATATTTAAAAAAACAAAAAATAGAAACAAGCACAGTTAACAATTCATTAAAATATACTATAAGAAGCAATTAGAAGGGTGGTATTTGTAACTCAAATAATTTTGAATGTTACCAAATTATTTTTTAAAAACATACAGCAAAGATAGCATTTTTAAAGCCCTGGACCATAAATATCTTAGTGCAGTTTAAGTGTCCCTATTCTACTACAAATCCATTGGAAACATGACTTCACAAAGAAAATTAGTGGTCACAGTGTGTTCAGATTACAAACACGAACGCCATCAGCACATACTGAGGGGTTGGTCTTTTCCACTGCGTCCTTCTGGATTCGTGGTTTACGTAGTAGGTCCTTCCGAGAATGTCCTGTCTCTCTTCCCAGCCTGGAGGTAGAGGAGAAGGTTCTTGTTGCTGCTGCAAATGGCAGGCAGCATCTGGTTGGTCCAAAACAACCCAGCCAGGCTGAAAACAGAGGGTTAACCATTAAGCTTATGCTTAATTTTTTGACCTTATACATTATGCCAGAGGACATTTAAAATGTAATTTAGCATATCCAAGTCCAGAAATTAAACAAGGAATAAGCAGACGGTCAACTTTTAAGATCATCATATGAATTTTATGATAATGAAGACGTTTTTAAAAAATAACATTTAAATTTGGCTTGAAACTTTAAAAATGTTTTGAAAGCATTTTAAAACTATAGGAGAGTAAACTATGTAATAGAAAAACACACGAACAGTAACAGAAAGCACTGAGAAATTGAGGAGCGTAGTTTCAGCTAGGGCAACCTGAGGCTATTCTCTAAGTTATCAGCAAACAAATGAAGGGCAGGTTTCGTGTTGTACTGGGCACTGCCCTCCCACAGAGAAAGCACAGTTGCATAGGGTGGAAATTAGTTATCTCTTTAAGACTTGAAAAAAATGTTAAGTGAGGGTGAAATATATAGAGGCATGATAAGGAAATGCAAATGACTTAGAAGTAATCATGACAATGAACTCTCTAGTGATTTAAAAAGTCATTTGACTTTTCTCTTTCTCCTCTGGACCAAGGAGAAGCATTTTGGTCAAGTCAGGAAGTAGCCCAAAAGCTCTGGCCAAGTAACTCAGTTGATTAAAGTGTTACGGGGCACATCCAAGGTTACGGGTTTGATCCTTGGTCAGGGCACATCCAAGAATCAACCAATGAACATATAAATCATTGCAACAACAAATCAGTGTTTCTCTCTCTCCTTTTTTCCCCCTCTCTCTCCTTCCCCCTCTTTAAAATCAATCAATCAATCAATCAATCAATCAATCATTTTTTTTTTTTTTAAAGAAAGGAGGCAGCCAAAGAAATAAAGTTTTATTTTGTTTTGAATGCCAGGAAGGCACTGGAAATTTCCTGAGACTATGGAGAGGGTAAATATCACAAAGCCTTAAGCTAGGGAGTAAGAGTAAGGAGTTAGTAGGAAAGGATAGCAAGAGTTAATGACATTCTTTGATAACAGAAACTTAAAACAGAAAAAGGCAATTTGTAGAAGTTATACTAAATACTGGAATGGTTAGGAAAGCAAATAAATGAGTGAAGAAAACTTAATTCTCTGGAATGAATAAAAAGACTTAATATGATCTTGGCTAGGAAGACTCAATCTTACAATGGTGTCAGTTCTACCCAAGTTAGTTTATAAAGTTCCCCGGATTCCAATTAAACTACATGATGGATTTTTTTGAAAAAATTAACAAGGCACAGAGATCCTCAAGTTCCAATGCAAATACAAACATGCAAGAAAAATCAGCAAAATTCTATAAAAGAAGAGCACAGTGTGGAGATTAACCCTACCAGATAAAATATATTAAAAACCACTGGAATTAAAACTCTGTGGCATTGGAGCAGGCTTACACAAGGCAGCTCAGCAGAATGGATTAGAAAGCCCAGAAAGAGACTCTAAATTGTAGGAATTTAGTGTATGATAAAGGCATTTCAAATTTGTGAGGAAATAGCCAAATCACCTAGAAAATAGAAAAAAATTTAATTTAGATTGCTACCTCAGACCTTATAACAGGATGTTACAGATTGAGCAATATTTAAATGTTAAAAAGTCAACCCAAAAGGTATTAGAACAAACCTAAAGAGACTTAAAAAGACTCTTACATCCTAAGAGTGGGAAAGCTGTTATGTATCTAATACCAAATCCAGAGCATAAAAGAAGTCTGATAAATTTGATTGCAAATCCCCAAATTTGTACATGGAAAAACTACTAAATCAAAGTTTTAAAAACAGCACCAGTAAATTTAATTGAAAAATTTCCAGAGATGACATCATAACATTTTTTTAAAATCCTATCTAATAAACAGGAAACATGCTAATTGACTGCCCCACCCTCAAAGATGGTGGTGCCCTCAGCCAATAAGGAGGGAATATGCTAATTGACTGCCCTGCCTCCAAAGATGGCGGCACCCACAGCCAATAAGGTGGGAATATGCTAACTGACTGCCCTGCCCTCAAATATAGGAGCATTCATAGCCACAAGATGGCAGCGCTCAGTCCCCTCAGCCCCACCAGGATGGCAGGCGCAGCTTGCTGGGCACCTGCTTCAGGAGTCCCCCAGTCCCCTCAGCCCCCCAGCCGCCCAGGGCCAGCCCAAAGTGTAGGCAAGCCTCGGATGGCGGCTGCCCAGATGCCCAGAGCCACCTGAGGCTCAGGTAACCAGGGCCGGCCAAGAGGTGTGATGGGGTGTTGCCTTCTCCTGATCACTGGGTCGCCTCCTGCCCCTGAGGGCTCCAGAACTGTGAGAGGGGGCAGGCCAGACTAAGGACTGCCCCCTCCAGTGCATGAATTTTCATGCACCACGCCTCTAGTAAAGAAATAAAAAAACGACAAATTGGCCAACGTTTGGTACTATGATAACAGACAAAAAATAATTTCCTTAATATATACAGACTATTTTTCCCTACGCAACAGGGATCCCACACTAAAGGACTGTTGTTTGTCAACCAATCGATGGCTGAGAAGGTGGAAGAGAATTCTTCTATATTGAAAAATGGATCTAACACTGAGGGACCAGAGAGAAGAGCTGGGAGGAACTGAGTCTTTTCTGGCAACAGGTTTTTACGGCAAGGCTGAGCTCTTCCCGTTAGCGTGGAGGGGATGGTGAGAGCCCCAGGCAGAACAGAAGGTGAGAAGCAGAGGGAGAGGAAGACCTAGAGAATTACCCTGGGAAAAGGAATGTGGATGACGAGTAACAAGGGCTCCTTTTCTTTCTTCCTCTTTGTTATCTTTTCCTTTTTACCTCTTCTATGGGAACTGGCATCGCTTTATTATATTTAATGCCCAAACCCTCTACCCTCTGACTTTTTCTCTCCATTTATGTTTGCCTTCCTTTTATCTCTCTCCTTTCATTTAAATACTCATAATAGAGGGTCAACAAACCTAAAATTTAGCCTTGCGTATATTAAATTAAAATTTATTTCTCCAGTTTCAATTTCAAAAGCATGTGAGTTGAATTTTTATATTTTACTCTCAAAAAAAAAAAAAAAAAAAAAGACTAACAAGTGTTTTGTTTAATATGGTCACTGATTACTTTTCTGCAGATGAATGACAACTATGAATATAATGGTCCTTATTACCGCTTTAAGAACTGTAAAAATAGTCAGAGCTAGGAAGATGGCGTCAGAAAAGAGTTAAAATCTTCTTAAAGATTTCTTTCTTAAAGGTCGCTTATTGAATTTATGCTATCCAAACAAACCCAAGGGGAAGGAAAAACTAACTTTTAAAAAAGCCTGCTTCAAGTTTGAAAAAAGTTGAATGTACAGTTGTACATTTTAACATTGTTTAGAAAGACTGAGTTCTAATTTTTTTTATATAATGCCTTCCTATTAAACATGTATCAGCTGATGTTCCTCACAGAATAATTTTCTAAGTATCAATGAATGCTATTTAATCACTAACCTCAAAGCTAAGATGCAACTGCCCATAATTTCATGGAGTCAAAGGCCAGAAACAAAGCATTCAGAGCTACAGCCCACACTGTACGTTAATCTTGTGAAATGCAGACTAGTACATCCAAATCAACAGTTGCAAGGGGTACAAAAAATAAAATGTTACTTAATATCTTTATAGCGAGATTTCACCTTACTAAGGAATACTAAGTGCCTTAGAGTGAGCCTCTTATGAAGATTACCATTGTTTTCTTTAAATAGTGGAATTGTGTATATTCAGCCACAAACTAGATGTCAAAGGCAAGACTTCCCTGGTCATTAGCTACACAGAACATAAATAAGCACAGATTCGTGTGTTTGAATTCCTAGGGCCTTTCATAAATAAACTCCTGCACGCTTACATCTACTGAAATTATAAGGTGCATTCTGAGGGAATTCAAACATTGAGACAGGAGACCACAAATGAAGTGAAGCAGCCCTGCCCACAGAAACCCAACTGTGAATAAGGTACCTGTGATATGTGCGTGTGGGAAGAACTTGGAGCAGGTTACTAAATAATAAAATGCTGTTAATTTTTTTTTTTTTAGGTTACTAAATAAAGAATTTTCTTTCTTTGCAGCAGACAGCCTTCATTTCAGACAGAATTTCATTATGTAATATGCCCTGTGCAACAAAATGTCAGAAACTTTGATGCAATAAATACCTTAGAACTTTTAAGTGATTATTATATGACAAATCAGAGAAAAACTAAAAAGATAAAAAAGGTAATCAAATAAGTGGTTATAGACATAAGAAAGGACACCAAGTTCTTTGACGGTCAAACAAAGGTCTCATTATATTCTACTGGAGGCTTGGTACATGAAAATCATGCAGTGGGGGTCCATCAGCCTGGCCTGCGCCCTCTCACAGTCTGGGAACCCTCGGGGGATGTCTGCCTGCCGGCTTAGGCCCAATCCTCCCAGAAATTGGGGCTAAGCTGACAGTCAGACATCCCTCTCACAGTCCGGGGCTCGCAGTCCAGTGAAATCCTAGTTGCAAGGTCTGCTAGGAGCTAGCCCAGTGGCTGTGAGTCTCTGAACTTATCTGGACCTCAGGCTCTTTATCTGCAGAGTGACATGGTGGGGTCCAATGAGCTCTAGGGGTTCTTCCAGCAAAAAAATTATGATTTGAAGAAAGGACAAAAAACACCTGCCCCTTGAGGTTCCCATCGCAGGAGCATTATCATCAAAAGATAGCACATAGTATATTGGCACCAACGTGCTTGGGAGGGTTTGTGTGTGAGGGTGTATGTATAGGGTGTGTGTGTGTGTGTGTGTGTGTGTGTGTCTCCCTCAACAGCCATGCCTCTTTGCGTGAGGGTCTGGCTAGATCTTCAGAAGAACTATAAAGCTGAGGAACCTCCCCAAGGACTGGGCTCTCCCTCACAAACGCACATTCCTTGAGAAGAGAAAGAAAGCTTGAGAATAAGCAGTGCTTTTGCTACAGAACTTTCAGGGAATTTTTTATTTTTTTATTTTTTTAAAAATATATTTTATTGATTTTTTACAGATAGGAAGAGAGATAGAGAGCTAGAAACGTCGATGAAAGAGAAACATCGACCAACTGCCTCCTTCACAACCCCCACCGGGGATGTGCCTGCAACCAATGTACATGCCCTTGACCGGAATCGAACCCGGGACCCTGCAGTCCACAGACCGACGCTCTACAACTGAGCCAAACCGGCTTCGGCAGGAATTTTTTATATATACAAATGAGGAATCTGAAATAATGGAAAAAATTTTTATCTTTGAGTCATTCTATATAATAAAGCCCTAATATGCAAATTGACCAAATGACGAATGACTGGTCGCTATGACGCACACTGACCATCAGGGGGAAGAAGCTCAATGCAGGAGCTGCCCTGTGGTGGTCAGTGTGCTCCCCTAGAGCTCATCTGATCCTATCCCGTCACTCTGCAAATAAAGAGCCTGAGGTCTAGAGAAGTTCAGAGACTCACAGTCACTGGACTGGCTCATAGCAGACCTTGCAACTAGAATTTCACTCTCCAATTCCCAGACCAATTCTATTGTAAATACATACTCTCAGCCTCTTAAAAAAAAAAATGTTTTTATTGACTTCAAAGAGAGGAAAAAAGGAGAGAGAAATAGAAAATCAATGACGAGAAAGAATCATTAATCAGCTGCCTCCTGAACACCCCCAAGTGGGGATCAAGCCCGTAACCCAGGCATGTGCCCTGACCTAGAATCGAATAGTGACCTCCTGGTTCAACCACAGAGTCACATAGGCTGGGCCGGCTTCTTCTTTACACACCTCAGGTGTATGTAGTTCTGCCCAAATAATTGACTTGGACTTCCTCTTATTATCATCCATGAAAATTGTTAAATTCTATTTGTCCCAAATAAATGTGGCCTAGTAGATCACTTGAATTCTCTCCTCTCTTTCTCATTTCCCTCCTTTCCTCTGAGTCCCCCACAACCATGATAAGAAAAAAAATTATATTTCATTAAAAAGTTCCTAATTAGCCAAAACCAGTTTGGCTCAGTGGTAGAGTGTCTGCCTGTGGACTGAAAGGTCCCAGGTTCAATTCCCGTCAAGGGCATGTACATTGGTTGCGGGCACATCCCCGGTAGGGGGTGTGCAAGAGGCAGCTGGTCGATGTTTCTCTCTCATCGATGTTTCTAGGTCTCTATCCCTCTCTCTTCCTCTCTGTAAAAAAATCAATAAAATATATATATATTTTTAAAAGTTCCTAATTAATAGTTTCCTCAAATTTCCATGTATTTAACTTATAGGGTTGTTTGTTTTTTTAAATGAAGTGGAAAATGACATGGTTTAGAAAATAAAAAAAATTAGAAACAGTTAATTTAATAATGATAAATGTTTTCATTTATAAACACTGTATTCTCTATTCTTTAACCTTTAAAATTCCATTTATATAAATCCTTTAAAAGAAAGAAATACATGGTGGGGTAAAATAAATAAATATCCAGGTAAATAATTTATATCACACATTGTAATAAAGTTATTTTTTCTTCACAGAATACTAAAATAAGGAATTAGGTATTTCATTTTTAGTTTAACCAAATGTTTATAAAATCTCACCTCTAATTCCTCAGCCTGTTCTTCGTTATCTTCTTCTGAGCCATTGGTTTTAGGTAAATAAGTCATTTTTAATCTCAGGTAACCTTTAACTCTTGATTTATGACTGTAGAAAAGAAAGTAATTATTCACAAAACTTTAACAGTAGGAGAAAAGCATTCATTTACTAAGAGTTTATTGAACACCCACTAGCTACTACCTGTTTCCCCGAAAATAAGACAGTGTCTTATATTAATTTTTTTCTCCCAAAGTTGCGCTAAGTCTTATTTTCAGGGGATGTCTTATCTTTCCATGCGCTAGGTTTTATTTTCCAGGAAACACGGTAGAGGAGACTCAAAAACAAGTTCTAGTGCAGAAGGTATCAAGGAAAAGGAATACATGGTGGAACAAAAGGAACATACATCCTATCTAATAAAAGAGTAATACACAAATTGACCATACCTCTGCTACACCCACAAGCCATGCCCACAAGCCAATCAGAAGCAAATATGCAAATAAACCCAATCAAGATGGCTGTGGCCACGGAGAGCAGGAGGAAGGCTTGGGTTTCTCCGGCAACAGAGGAAGCCAAGCTTTCCGCCTGCCCTTACCGGCCTATGCCTCTACTTAATGTTATAAAATTTCAATGATAGAAGATAAATAAATCCCAACAAAAATGGCTGTCACCACCAAGCGAGCAGAAGGCTTTGCTCCACTCTTGGCCTCAAAGTTTCAATTGTAGAAGATAAATAAATCCCAGATACCAGGGCCTCTGCTTAGATCACTGGGAGGCATGGCTGGCCTGCAAACTACCACAGGACCCCCCCCTCCTCGCCCAGGCTGCCCCATGCCACAAGGGAACCCCCACCCTGATCTGGGACACCCTCAGGGCAAACCAGCTGGCCCCCACCCATGCACCAGGCCTCTATCCTATCAAATACAAGAGTAATATGCAGATTGACTATCACTCCAACACACAAGATGGACACAAGATGGCCACCACAAGATGGCCAGCAGGGGAGGGCTGTGGGAGGGACCAGGCCTGCAAGGGAGGGCAGTTGGGGTGATCAAGCCTGCAGGGGAGGGCAGTTAGGGATGACCAGGCTTACAGGGGAGAGCAGTTAGGAGTGACCAGGCCTTCGGGGGGGGGGGCAGTTAGGGGTGACCAGGCCTGCAGGGAAGGGAAGTTAGGAGTGACTAGACCTGCAGGGGAGAGCAGATAGGGGTAAACAGGCTGGTAGGGGAGCAGTTAGACATCAATCAGGCTGGCAGGGGAGTGGTTAGGGGGTGACCCGGCTGACAAGTAGAAGTGGTCAGGAAGGCAGCAATCAGGAAGGCAGGTAGGTGAGCAGTTGGGAGCCAGCAGTCCTGGATTGTGAGAGGAATGTCCAACTGCCCATTGGGATTAGACCTAAATGGGCAGTTGGACATCCCTTCAGGAGGTCCCAGATTGGAGAGAGTGCAGGCTGGGCTGAGGGACAACCCCCTCTCCCTTGCATAAATTTTGTGCCCTTGCGTGAATTTTGTGCATAGGGCCTCTAGTATATAAATAATTGTCATGAGATAAATAAGATACTCAGGAAGTTTAAGCTAAAGATCAGAGAGAGTCTGAAAGACAAGTTGGCATTTGAGTTGGGCCTCAAAGATTAGGGAAGATTCTGATCTGTGGCAGTGAAGGGAAAGGCTTCTGAGTGAATAAAAGAGCAAAAACAAGGAAATAGATGGGAAACCTAGGGTGCAATTAAGGAAATGACTGTAGTTGAGTTTGGCTGGATGACAGGGTACATAAAAGAGGTGGTGATGGCCTCGATGATGAGGTTCAGGTGAAACAAGCAAACTTGAGGTTGTATTTTGCTTCCTCTGTGAAGCAACAGAATTCTGGAGATGGGGTAAGGCAACCCTTGCTTTTGAGATGCTCATCTACCACATCGTACAAGATGACGGGAGAGGGAAGAGCAAAGCCTGATGACTATCTGTAACTTACAATAGCTCTTTCTTTAACAGCTATTTGAATCTGCCATACACTAAATTACCTAATCTGTTTTCATATTGTTATCACCTCTTTAATAATGAGTTGTCTAAGCTAAATTAATACAATTAATACCCATTGTATTAATATTTAATTTTTTAAAAAAAACCTGTCTTCCTTAAGCGTCTAACTTAAGACTTATTGCCCCCATCAATTTTAACATCCTATTTACTTAAAAAAATCTTTGCTTGTCCCACCTTTCCATATAGATTTTTTGGGTGATTTTTATAGATATCAGTTATATAATCAATTAGCCTTTGTCTTCCTAGACAAAAGTCCTAATTCTTTTTATTCTGTCTTCAAGAAATATGCCTCTCCGGTGACCCCTTATCTTTTTAGTTGTTCCTCTGTGTCTAGTTCTCATGGACTTGATAAGTGGACCTTTCCTGAGTGGTCAATAAAATCCCTGATGCTTATTTCCAAGGCCACTACGGTGGCCTGTCACCATATTCAAGGGGCTGTGAACACTGACTTATTGATATAAAAGATACAGAAATCTTGCCCTGACAATGTTTAATAGAAGAGTTTCTCTGCAATGACAGGTTTCATATCTTCCCATCTAGATAATAAATCTGTAGGTTTGGACTTAATGGGGCTTAAACAAAATCTGGGAATATAGTTCATTTTCTATCTGAATAAAGTTCTTTCTGCACTTGCAATAGTATCCAATGCAGACAGAAGATGTAAACTGTTAATAGTTTTTAAAGATAAGGATACTATAAAGCATTTGACAAATTGAAAAGCAGGCTACTAGGACAATCAAATACGAGAATAAATATTTATTTAGTTATTCTTGGTGTGCAGATGTCATAATCAGTCTAAAATTAAAGGAAGAAGCGAGATTTGTATTCCAAGACTTTTATAGAATTTAAATATGTGACTTCTCTTAGAGAAAGTAAATATTAATAGCCAGAGAGCACTGTCCCTTTTTCTTTAATATTTATATTGCAAAGAGTAATTTTTAAAAATAATTTTTTAGTGAAAAAAATTTGCTAGGTTCCCATTATATGCTTTTCAAATGTATTTCCTAGTTTTAAAAACAAGGCACACACTGTTTTCACAGATGTCCTCTCTCTGCCTTACTTTGACCTTTCTGACAGTTCAGTCCTCACCAGACGTGACTATGTGGTACAGAGGATCAAAAGGAGCTAAACTTTAGCATTTTGATAAAAATCAAGTCATTTAGTTTAGAAAAATGAAATTATGGGTTTTAGATTCCAGTCTTTACACATGTTATTTTATCTAAATATTTAAGTTTTATGAAATGCCCTTTTTATTACTAGTAATGTATGTAAAATGTAGTTAGGTTTTTCTGAAATTGGTTTTGTGCATGTCAAGTCAGATATTAGTTTTAGATAAACTGATGTTTGTAATTTTTTAAAGCATAGTGTGACAAAATTATGTACACTTTACAATATAAAATCAATATAAAATGACAAATGTTAGCCTTTTAGTCTGATAAGTATTAGGGGGGGCAAATCTTTTCCAAAGGGGAGTGATCACTTTTCTATATTATGTATATATTATATAATATATATTATATAATATATATAACTTCTATATTATGCATATATTACTCTGTAATCAGATATAACAATAAAACTTTCAAAAAATAATAAAATATTTAGAAGTAGCTTATTCAGAAAGGTTTAAACTTTGAATTTTCAAAGTGGTTAGAAGGTATAATGAAGAAATTCTTTAAAAACTTAACATGTTATTATTTTATAGTTACTGACCTTCTTGGGTGAAGAACAAAATCCTTAAATGTATAGGGTCTCTCCATTCTTGGATTTTCTGTCTAGAATAAAACAGTGGGTTTTCAAGACGTATCTAGAACACCAAAGTATGTACTTTTCAAGACAATTTATGAACTATGACTTTCAGCATAACTTAAGTTAGAACTGAGGGAAAAAGAGCAGCTTTAGATGAAATGGTTACAATCAATAGTGCTTTCACTTTTCTGCACCATAGGAATTGCAACCAGCATCACAACTCAGTCTAAAACTAGCTGAACAGGTGTGTTGTGGAGCCAAAAATAGGGTGGGAAGTGAAAAAACAGCAGGGTGGTTGGTGGAATATGCCGTGTCAGAAAGTTGGCCTGGTTAGAGCAGAGGGACAGTTCTAGGAGAATGAGAAAGTAAACAGTGTGGAAAACAAGACTGAATTCAATGTATTATTAAAAGCTTGTCATCTCTGAAGGCGGGAGAAAGCCAAAAATATCTCAAAAGACTGGCACAGTAAAGAAGCATTATTTATTTTCCTTATCAAGTTCAACAGCCTTTTTTTATTATCCTTTATTCCCTGTTGCATTTTGTACTGTTAACCAAACACTCAGTCATGGAACTCTTGAATTCTCACGACATTATTTTACTTGGTTCTTTGCTGTCTCTCCTGATCTGTTTTCTCCTTCTCCTTTGACAGACCCATGCTATCTAGGTTCAATCTAAGTGCTTCCATCTCTCTTATTTGGACAGCCAATCATTCTCAGAGATTCTGCTGTTACCTCGACACTGATTTCTCTCAATTCTTCTAGTCCCTTTTCCCTACACAATTTATTTTCACATCTCTGTCAGCTGCCCACTTTTAAATTTTCATTTTTCTTGTTTTCTATTAAATTCACTATGGTAAAAAAAACAAATATATCTATCATATTTCAAAACAAAAGGGCTTTTCCTCCCAACTTTTCTATTTGAGATACCAACCTAATCACCCAAGTTCAACCTGTATTATCTGTATTTTTAATAAATTTTAACCCCTCTGTCTGAAACTTGGTTCAATACAGTTTTATTATAAAATGTTTCCTGAATCTGTTTTCCTCCATTGTTATATGCTTGGTCCAGATTTCATGTCTATATTGTTATAACCTATCTCCCTATTCTAAGTTATTTAATAGAATATTTTCAAATTGATCTTCCTTAAACAATGTTTTCATGTCAACAAACTTCAATGGCTCTGTTTCTTACTGGGGTTCAAGTAAGATAAAATTAAAACAGAAAACTGAGATATGTTTTCAGAAAATAATATACTCAAGAAATTGTATCAGTATATATTTTAGAAATCAAATATTTATATTAATTACATGGTGTATTTTTATGTGTTTATTAAAGTAAAAACAATAAACATAAAAAGTAAAATCTTAACACTTATACTAACCGGTAATGGGTAAAGAGGAACATCCACTTGACCTAGAAAATCATCTCTTGTCTACAAGAAAAAAAAAGAAAAAATAAGATTAGTAATATGCTTAATCCTTTTATAAAATTTGATGAGCAACTGCCATGATTCACCAAAAAAAATGTAAAAGGTTTTTTTTTAATTCTATGTAATATCAATACAAAATAAAAAGCAATATGATATAATTTCTGGTAATGGCAGACTAGAGTATATTAGATTGATCCCTTTGCAGATGACAATTATGTAGTCTGAAAGTAACTATTTGAAAGCACCGTAGATTGACAAAAGCAGGCAGAAACTGGAGCAGAGTCAGTCTTGAAAGAACTATACTGGGTTGGATTCATATTTAAATGGCTTTCCAACTGGTAGTACTCCATATGGTGAAGTGATTAGAACTTAAGCAGAAATCCAAAATCTTACTTGTTTGAGAACCTAGTTTGAGGTTAATTGCATAACTGGGAAGTGAGGGGGACAATCCCTGAAAGAAAGAAGCCACAAGAGTCCTCCATATCTATATATAAACTCTACCCAATTCCTAGCTGATTCTTGAACTGCATATGTGAAAGGCAACAGCTGGAAGGCTGAGAGGATTGAGCATAGATTTCAGTTGATGTTTACCTGATGAGAGATAGCATTTGGAGTCCTGTTAGCAACTTGCTAGAACAAAATCAATACCCTTCAGGGAAAGATAACAAAGTTCATGGTCTCCATCCTGTACCCCACACTGTGCAGTATACAATACAAATTACTAAATATACAAAGAAATATAACCCAGTATTAAAGAAAATATAATTAATAGAAACCAACCACAAGATGAGCCAGATCTAGGAATTAGCAGACAGGGAAATTAAAGCAGCTATTATACAAATGTTTAAGGACTTAAAAGGAAAATATCATTATTAATGAATGGATGTGGAATCTCAGCAGTGAAATTCTAAAAATGAATCAAATGTATATTTCAGAAATAAAAGATGTATCTGAATTAAGGATCAGTGGGTGGGCTTTACAAATGATTGAAAATGACTGGAGAAAACTTATGTTAACTTGAATCACATATCCATAGAATTTATCTAATATGAAAAATAAAAAGCACTTGCAAAAAATTTCAATCATGAGAGAAAAATATTTCCTACATAGAATTCTATACCCAAACTATCTTTCTCAATGATAAAGGTACAATTCAGACACTGGTTTTCTTAGGAATGTAATGGAGGATATGCTTTACAAAAATGAGGGAGTTCACCATAGTAAGGGCAGGTATAGGAGATTCAAAACAGAAGAGAAGCAAAGAGAATGAGGGAGAAGAGAACTCTCAGAATAACAGTAGTATATAAGACCACAGAACAACAATAAGAGAGATGCTTCTAGAAGAATAGGAATAATCATATCTACCTAATAGGGTTTTGTTAGAATTAAATGAGATAATATATGTAAAGTACTCTGCATATGCCCAGCCAGTGTGGCTCAGTGTCTGAGTGTTGACCTATGAACCAGGAGGTGACAGTTCAATTCCTGGTCAGGGCACATGCTGGGATTGTGGGCTCGATCTCCAATAGGGCATGCAGGAGGCAGCTGATCAATGATTCTCTTTCATCATTGATGTTTCTATTTCTCCCTTCCTTTCTGAAATCAATAAAAATATATTTTAAAATAAAACAAAATGCCCTACATAAGACCCAGCATACAGTAAGCATTCAGTAAGTGTTAGCTGTTACATTTGAAAGGAAGGGTTCTATAATAAACTCCCCGCTCACTTTCCTCAGGACCAGTCTATGGGAATTTCAAACAGGTACATATAATAAAAGGAGCTGGACACTGGAGCCTAACATACCAGCTTAGCATAGGGCCATATTCCTATTTCAGAACAAGCGATGACAATAATTTTGAAATGGAAAAGTTAACTTTTATTTATATCTTTAAGGCTGTTGTATGGCATGTTTTTTTTTAATTCCTGTATTTATCACAAGTAGATGTTATACTCCATAGAGTTGACCTTTAATAATCTTTAAATATGAAAGTAAAATACTAGTATAACAAAATACAGCAAAATCTCAACCAGGATGACTGGAGGAATAAAATATTTTGGTTAACTGAATTATCTAACTTAGGTTTAGGCATAACCAGATAAAAAAAATAAAACCCTTTCTTTTGGATTCACTCATAGCCTTGCCCTGAGTAAAGTGAATAGAATGAATGCCTCTCTGATGATCCATAACCTTGCACTGCTTACAAGGCATGGCTGTGGTAAGTTGTCACTTGAGTAGTGCAGTGATAGAACAAGATGTCTCAACTTGGCCACTACTGACAATTTTAGCCACATAATTTTGGTGTGTGTGAGGACTGTCCTATGTATTGAAGGATATTTGACAACATCCCTGAACTCTACCCACTAGATGCTAGTACCACTCCTCCTCCAAAAATGACAACCAAAAATGTCTATTGGCATTTCTTTTGGGGTGACAAAACTGTCTTTGTGAACCACTGATAAAGAAGATATGAAACAAATTGTCTCAACCAGTAACAAGAGACTCCTTCTCCACCTTTTTGAAATGTTGAGATATAATTCACATCTTATACAATTCACTTCTTCAAAATGTATAATTTTAGAACATTTGTATCACCCCAAAAAGAAAACCCATACCCATTTCCTCCCTCTTTCCTGGCCTAAGCAACCACCAATTTACTTTCCATCTCTATGGGTTTGCCTATTCTGGACATTTTACATAAATAAAGCCATAGCCCTCACTGGTTTGGCTCAGTGGATAAAGCAGTGGCCTGCAGACTGAAGGGTCCTGGATTTGATTGTGGCCCAGGGCACACGCCCGGGTTGTGGGCTCAATCCCCATAGGAGGCATGCAGGAGGCAGACAATCAATGTGATTCTCTCTCATCATTGATGTTTCTCTCTCTCTCTTCCTCTCCCTTTCTCTCTGAAATTAATAATAAAAAAAAGCTTTTAAAAAATAATATGAATGAATAAATAAATGAGTCCTAAAATGTATAGTAATCCTTTATGCCTAACTTCTTTCATGTAGCATAATGCTTTCAAGGTTCATTCATGTTGTAGCAAGTATCAGTACTCTATTCCTTTTTTTTTTTTATTGCTATTATATGGATGTATCACATTTATTCATCAATTTATCAGTTGAGGGATCCATGTTTTGGCTATTATAAATAACTAGTGTCCCAGTGCACAAGTTTGTGCACACTGAAAGGAAATTAATTAGAAGGTGGCTGGCAGGACAGGACTGGGTGAGAAGGGCTGGACACACCTTGGAGTTAACCTCCCGTAGTCCCTCCTCAACCAGCCACACCTGGGGTGGCACCGCAGCTCAGAGGACATCGGCAGAGTGAGCAGGGTCTCTCCAGCATGTGGGCTCCCTTGGCCTGGCCCGAAGGGATCAGGCCGAAACCAGCTCTCCAACATCCCTGAGGGGTCCCGGATTATGAGAGGACAGTTCTTGGGTGATAGACCCCAGAATTAGGCTTGGTTGTGGGTGGGTCACCTGAGAACCTCTGCTGCCAAGTGACCACAGCTAGGCAGCTGCAGTGTCTGCCTCCTGGTGGTTATTGCGTGTCATAGCTACCGGCTGGTCAAATGGTTGCTTAGCCTTTTACAGATATGCTGTTATGAACATTAGAGTACAAGTTTTTGGGTTAACATATATTTTCCTTTCTCTTGAGTATATACTTAGGAGTGGAATTGCTATTTAACTTTTCACGGAACTGCCAGACTCTCTCAAATGGCTGCGCCATTTTATATCCCCACCAGCACTGTAAGAGTGTTTCGATTTCTCCATATATTTACCAACATTAATTACCACCTATATTTTGTATAATAGCCCTTCTAGTGGATGTGAAATGGTATCTCATTGTATATTGTTTGCATTTCCATGATGGCCAATTATATTGAATATCATTCCATGTGTTTATTGTGTTCTTATTTCTTAAAAACTCTTAACTTATACATTTTCCCTCAGTATTCAGTCTTCATTGCAGAGGCAGTGCCTGGGCACTGCATGACAGAAATAAAACATTTCATCCCATATATTGTTGCTCCATACTCCTTGTTTATTGATTGCATTCTGTGAACAAAAGCACAGAACAAGAATTCCACATAATGAAAATTTCCATGTCTCAAGTCAGTCTGGTATATAAAGATGTATTTTCAAAATGTCTTAAAACACATCTTCTTTACATCTTCCTTCTTTGAAACAAGTGATCTGAAGGGAGTTTCTTAACTTCTATTTAAAGTGAAATGATTCCAAAAAACTATCTTTCTATTAGAAGAATGAACACACTTTCCAAGCTAGAAATCAATATGCTTATTCCGAGGAGATGGAGAATATGAAACGAGGAACTATATTGCAAAGTCTGGGACATATGGTTGCTATAAATATGGACAATAATTAGAAGTTCTTTTTCCATGTACAAAAAAAAAAAAAAGCAATAGTTTTAAATTCATTCCTGTGAAAGCAAGTCAGTCTGTGATGCTCATTAATTTTTCCCTAGCCAACCAATTGTTCCAAATTCTGAATATCAAGCATTTCTTTGCCAGAGTTATTTCTTATATTTGAACTGCATGCCATTTATTTCATAAAGCAATTTTGCATTTAGTAAAATATAACTAATTTAAGAATGCTTAAAAATTCACGAAATAATTCAGAACAGTAGGCGTTTTTAAACTGTAGTGGGCAGTTTAGTCAGTAAATGCATTTTAAAAAATATTTTAAAGATAAGAACTGCAGTTTCTTAAAACAATTTTTAGAATATGAAAAGAGAAAAAGCCAACCAACTTGTTTTGCAAAACTTCAATTAAAACTACAGATGACTCTAAGTTTAGGAGGACAAACTGTTACTAATTTTGATAAGACTGAATAATGACTGAAGGACTGTGCTTTATTACAAAAAAAAAATCAAAATTTCAAAACAGATAAGTTCAAGTGTCATAGCTTTGAAGAATACTTGGCTTTCAAAAGAGTTTCCATTAAATTATTTGAGTTGCAAATAATTTCCCAGGATAAATCTACA